AATCCTTAAATGACTTTCATCAAACCCATATCCATTCTCCTATGGAATGCGAATGGTGTTAGAAATCACATAGACGAACTAACAGCCTTACTATTAGACAAGAACATTGTTGTAGCCCTAATTACAGAAACTCGACTGACCAAAAAACAGCTTTTGAAAATACCACAATACTTAACGTATCGGACATACCACCCTGACGGTAGAGCACATGCCGGTACTGCTGTCATCGTACATCAATCCCTCTCTCATCACATACTCCCATTGCCTAATCACGATTTCCTACAATCCACTGCAATTGTAATCAAAACCTTTTCCTTTCCTGTCACCATTGCATCAGCATATTGCCCTCCTAACCGATCCATATCCAATGTCCACTTCACCTCTCTCCTAAATTCCTTAGGAAACCACTGCATCCTGGGTGCAGACTTAAACGCCAAGCATCAACAATGGGGTTCAAGAACCACGAATTCTCGTGGTCGAACATTGCTGTCTGCACTCAATTCCCAATGTTTTACCCTCCTTCCTCCCAATTCACCTACCTACTGGCCCACTGACCCTAACCGTAATCCTGATATTCTCGATTTCTTTATCCACAAAGGTTTAGGTACCCTCCACCATTCCCTTGCCCATCTTGATGAGCTTTCCTCAGACCACAGCCCATTAATATTCCAACTATCATTAGCTCCTATTCCTAAACCCTCTCCACCATCCTTCACCAGAGGCCCAGTTAACTGGAAACTCTTTCATCAAATCCTCTCCGATAAAATTGACCTCAGAGTAACCCTGAAAACCCCTGAAGACCTGGACAATGCAGTACATTCCTTCACTACCAAAATTCAAGAAGCAGTCTGGACTGCTTCCTCCCCTGATCACTCCTCAAAAATCCTTAAACATAATTTACCCCAACACCTCCTTGACCTAATCCACATAAAACGCCGTGCCAGATTATTATGGCAACGTACCAGACATCCAGCCGACCGCCATTCCTACAATTATCACTGTAAAAAATTAAAACAAGAATTAGCCACCTTCAGATCCCAATCATTCAATTCCTACCTCACCACACTCTCTGCTCATGATAATTCCCTTGGGAATATCACCAGAAAAATCCTCAAATCCCATCATATTTCCCACCCTCTTCGACGAGGTGATGGCTCCTGGGCAGCATCTGATGAAGATAAAGCCGAGGAGTTTGCCAAACACCTTTCCTATACTTTCGCTCCTCATCCGTAATCTCATCCTACCCACACAGTAAAAGTAGAAGAATTCGTTTCTTCACCTATCCCACTCTCCTTACCACCTAAAGCAGTTAATCCCTCTGAGGTCAAATACCTATTACGCAAAATCACTCCTCGTAAATCTCCTGGATACGACCTTCTAACCCCGCAGATCCTACGACAACTACTATCCAAAGCCATCATATTTCTAACCTATATATACAATTGTATCCTCCGAACTACCCACTTCCCTCTCCTATGGAAACATTCCACCATCATCCTTTTCCTGAAACCAGGCAAGCTTCCCAATAATACATCATCCTATAGACCAATTAGCCTACTCCCAATTCTTTCAAAAATTTTTGAAAAGATCCTCCTGAAAAGAATCCTACCCTTAATAAACTCCCGTAAAATCCCTACCCATCAATTCGGATTCCGTTCCCAACATTCTACCGTCCAACAAGGACTCCGAGTTGTTGACCACATATCCTCAGCCCTAGAAAACAAGCAGTTTTGCTCGAGTGCATTTATGGACATAGCGCAAGCTTTTGACCGGGTGTGGCACGCCGGACTGCTCTTCAAGCTCAAATCCCATCTACAACAGTCCTTATACCTAATACTCCAATCCTACCTCTCCGACCGCTCCTTTCGAGTTCGCTGTGGTACAGAATTTTCCGACTGTTATTCAATTGAGGCTGGAGTTCCTCAAGGCAGCGTCTTGGGTCCCATCCTTTACATCATCTATACCGCTGACATTCCCGTCCATCCCGATACACTCCTGGCAACTTTCGCTGATGACACTGCGATCCTATCTTCTAACTCAGATCCTGAAACAGCGTCCAGAAACCTGCAACGGCACCTATCCTTGATTGAACACTGGTGCAAGAAATGGCGCATCAAAGTCAATGAATCCAAATGTAAACATATAACCTTCACCCTTCGTCGTAATTCCTGTCCACCAGTTTACTTTAATACCATCCAGCTTCCCTTCTGCGACACAGTCCGGTACCTTGGTTTTCTCCTAGACAGACGACTAACGTGGAATCCGCATACTAGACTGAAAAGACAGGAACTTAACCGACGTTATGGCCAGCTATATAGACTACTTAATAGAAAATCTAAACTTTCTATTGAAAACAAACTACTGATCTACAAGACAATATTAAAACCCATGTGGACCTACGGACTAGAACTGTGGGGGACAACCAAATTTTCTAACATCAATCGCATTCAATCCTTCCAGTCCAAAGTCCTCCGTACAATAGTCGATGCTCCCTTTTATGTCTCTAATAAAACCCTGCACAATGACCTTAATATTCCATTTATTCTTGATCTTATCCCAGACAAATTCTCCAAATTTCATCAGAACCTTACCCATCACCCTAATCCCGTAGCACAATCCCTATCTAGCACCACTCATCCCTACAATCCTCCTCGTAGGCTGAAACGGCAGTGGCCCCGTGACCTTTTGTAACATGTATATACTGGAGTTCTGGCAATGGCCAGATTCTCCACTCAAGTCATGAGTGTCCGTGGTTGTAGCGCCCTTACTCAATCTCCGCTGGCTTTCAATGCCAGTGAAATGGTTGAGAAAGAAACGCAGGAATCTCCTAAAGCCTTGCTTTCCCTCCACGTGTGGGGGGATAAGTATGGTTTGGAGTTCCTATGGCCGACTGTAAATAGTGTAATAGGTATGCCTGCGTCTAAGATGTTTATTTTCATTTTTTTAATTTTTTTTCACACTATGATATTTTATTTTGTTCTTTTGTAGCTTTATATTATTTGAAGTTAGCTTATTTTTTTTATTTATTTATATTTTTTAATTTGTAAATATGGTGTGAATGTGCTCTCAGAACTCTATTATAAATGTCCTTTATTGAGACATTTGTAATATTTATCAATAAACCATTATAAATGCAAAAAAAAAAAATTTTTTTTATTGTCATATTTCATTCCTAAAATGCAATAATTTTATGTTTTTATTCATTTTATTACTTATATTTTATGTAAGCAGCTAATTTTTATAATAAATTTATTATCTTGGAATTATAATGTTGTCTCCTCTAAGGAGAGCCTAGTCAGATACTGAACCAAACCTTGAGCAAAGGGTCAAATTCCAAAGGTTTTATTTATTTTTATGTATCTAATTTGTTAATTAGATAGGCATAATGACTCCCTATTTTAGCTGCATCAGTTTTAAAATTTATTGCTTCTTTATTATGTTTAATAATAAATATCGATTCTATTACATTTCTATGTGTTCTATATGATTCCTTATATAATATTTGTGGTTGTGCTAAGTTGAATGTGTGTCTATTAGTAATGATATGATGGGCTAGTGCCGATTTACTTTTTTTTGAATCATTAAAATATTTGTGTTCATTCTTTTTTCAATGTTTTCTTTTGTTTCACCTATCAGATTCCTTCCTTCTTGACCAATGTCCCTGATCATTATAATTTTAATTTTCTTTTTTAATATGATCATAAAAAAAGTTATATATTTTTAATTTCTATTTTTCATTATTACAGATGCTGATCCTACATACCATGAAGATGAAGAAAACAGAATTATGGATATAAGTAAGATTTGTTTACAGTATTTATTCTCGCGAAAATATTTTTCTTTATTATATTATGACATTTTGGGATCTAATTTCATATCCCATATTCAGACTAGAAATTAGAATATTTTTGTGATTTATATTTTTATACATAGAGTTATCAGATTCCTTTCTTGTAGACCAATATCGCTGATCATTATAATTTTAATTCTTTATTTTGATCATCTGAAAAAAATCATATATTCTTACCTTCTATTTTTCATTATTACAGATACTGATCCTACATACCATGAAGATGAAGAGAACAGAATTGTGGATAATTTCAATAGAGTACAAGGTAAGTTATAGATTCTAATTTTTAAGTTTCGGGACAAGAGGCGCGAACTAAGTAGTTTTGTCACAGAAAAATAACAAGCATTCCCCGCCTTCAGTCTAACTTTAATCTCTTCTTCAATTTCGTTTTTTCTAGTTATCGTAGAACCTAGATACCTAAATTTATCTACCTGTTCAAACATATTACCATCTATATCGATATCACCAGTAGTATCGCCATTTTTGCAGCTAACCATATATTTTGTTTTATCCACGTTTATTTCGAGTCCTAGTTCTTTACCGGCTTTCATTAACGTTGTCGTATTTAGTTTTATAGTTTCAACGTCTTCGCTTAACAGTACCAGATCATCAGCATAGCCCAGCACGGATGTTGTCCCGCCCAGATCCAACCCTTTCTCGGTACGCATTACCTCCCTAATGGCATGTTCTAATGCCAAATTGAACAGGACAGGCGAAAGAGAATCCCCCTGTTTTAAGCCCGAACGAACCTCAAATTTTTCGGACAAATTATTACCGATTCTGACTTTATTGAGTGTCTCCGTCAAGCACATCCTGACTAGATTTACTAGTTTTTTTGGAATTCCCTGCTCGATTAGAATATTATACAGTTTCTGGCGGTCAATAGAATCGTAAGCCTTTTTAAAATCTATATACAGCTGGTGAACAATACCGTTATACTCCAATTTTTTCTCTAATATTTGCCGTAAAGAAAATATTTGATCAATAGTCGAACGATTCCGTCTAAATCCGCATTGGTAGTCTCCGATAATTTCCTCGGCGTATTCCGTGATTCGACTGGTTAAGATTGAAGTGAATATTTTATAACATACCGGAAGGAGTGAAATTCCTCGATAGTTATTACAATCCGTCCTATTTTTCATTATTACAGATACTGATCCTACATACCATGAAGATGAAGAAAACAGAATTATGGATATAAGTAAGATTTGTTTACAGTATTTATTCTCGCGAAAATATTTTTCTTTATTATATTATGACATTTTGGGATCTAATTTCATATCCCATATTCAGACTAGAAATTAGAATATTTTTGTGATTTATATTTTTATACATAGATTTATCAGATTCCTTTCTTGTAGACCAATATCGCTGATCATTATAATTTTAATTCTTTATTTTCATCATTTGAAAAAAATCATATATTCTTACCTTCTATTTTTCATTATTACAGATACTGATCCTACATACCATGAAGATGAAGAGAACAGAATTGTGGATAATTTTAATAGAGTACAAGGTAAATTATATCTACTTTACAAGTGCCTAATTAGTAATGCTATGATGGGCTCGAGCTGTTTTACTATTTTTTAATCATTAAAATGCTGGTTCATTCTTTTTTCGATGTTTTCTCTTGTTTCGCCTATCAGATTCCTTCCTTGTAGACCAATATCGCTGATCATTATAATTTTAATTCTTTATTTTGATCATCTGAAAAAAATCATATATTCTTACCTTCTATTTTTCATTATTACAGATACTGATCCTACATACCATGAAGATGAAGAGAACAGAATTGTGGATAATTTCAATAGAGTACAAGGTAAGTTATATCTACTTTACAAGTGCTTAATATACTCTGTTATGTTAATATATATAAATTTATATTTTTTGCAGATTTTTTTTAGAATTATCTTCTTCTTCTTAATCATTTCCTCTTCTACCACTGAGCGGTGTGAGCAGTGCCTTCTTGTAGAGCCGAATCCACAACTCTCGATCCTGAGCCAACTGCCGCCTCCTCCTCCAGTCAATATCCCTTCTGTCAAAGGCCTCCTTGACACTAACCTCCCAGGTCTTCCTGAACCTTCCCTGAGGTCTTCTTCCCTCAACTTTACTTTCCAATGCTATCCTGGCCATTTGATTCTCTGGCATTCGAGAGACATGACCAAGCCATCTCAAACGATTTTCCTCCATCACCGTTTTGGCTGCTCTTACGTTTAAATTTTTCCGTATTATGGAGTTTCTTATGCGATCTCTTTGGTTTTCCTTCGACCCTGAGCAGGAATCGTATCTCCATGGCCTGAATCTGACTGGGAGAAAAGTATTTTTGTACATGGTCGTTTTGGTCTCTTTACTCACTTCTCTCTTGTTCAAGAATCCTTGCTTGATAACGTTGAAGTATCTTCCTGCAGACTTCACTCTTTCTTTTATTTCTCCGTCAATCCATTCCTGTTCATTGATGTGGGCACCGAGGTATTTAAAAGTTATCACTTGTTCCAATGAGATTCCACTCAAGTGCACTATTCTGTCTCCCTTTCCTTGTTCTCTGCCAATCCTCATTGTTTTGGTTTTTTCCACATTTATTTGCATATTTATTTTACTTGATTCTTCCTGGAGAATGTGGAGGTTGAATTGCAGATTTCGTCCATTGCTTCCGAAAACCACCAAATCGTCTGCATAAGCGAACAGAGAGAATAATACAGGCTGTAGATTTCTGTATCCCATTTGATATGATCTCATACTTTGTTTTGCTATTTTTATTGCATTATCTAGCACTAGTGTAAATAGCAGAGGACTTAGACTGCACCCTTGCCTAATATCTTGATTAGTTGTGAACTCTTCCGATATGTTATTGGATGTTCTCAACATTTCTTTGGGTCTTATAGAGACTTAGAATTGCCTTACAGAGCCTGTTTTGATGCCTTTGTCTTCCAAGGCATTTGCTATGTCTTGCTTCTTCATTCGGTCAAATGCCTTAGTGAGGTCTACAAAACAGGCCTATATCTCTTTATCCCTTTCTATTAATTTTTCAGAGATTTGTCTTAAGGTAAATATGAGATCCTGGGTACTTCTATTTGGCCTAAATCCATATTGTTCTTCACTCAGGGAGGATTCCACTGTTCTTCGTAGGCGTTTCTCTAAAATCTTTGAGTATATTTTACTCGGGACACTAAGAAGAGATATCCCCCGGTGGTTTTTACATTCTCTATTATCCCCTTTCTTAAATATTGGGACTATAACAGATACTTCCCAATCCTTTGGAATATTCTTTGTTTTCCACACAAGGTTTAGAATGTGCTGGAACACTTCTATCTCCTTTTAGTTCATATACTTGATCATTTCAGGGGCAATCCTATCTATTCCTGCTGATCTTCCTGTTTTCAATGTGCCTATAGCATCCACAATTTCTTCTTCGCTGATAAAATCTTCTTCCATCTCGATCACGTTCGACCTTCCAGCTTCTTGATTTTCGTCTTCAGTATTTTCCTCCAAAAGTTCCTTGAAGTATTCAGCCCATCTCTGCATGATCCCTTCGTTGCTTGTTAGGATATTTCCTTCTTTATCGTTAATTCGCTTGAGAACAGGTTCTTTCTCTTTGCGCATGTTTCGGAGCATTCTGTAAAAAAGCTTCTGATTTTCTCGGAAATGGTCTTCCTTCTTTCTTCCAAAATCTTCCCACGTTTTCCTTTTGGCTTCTATGACCTTCTTTTTCACTTTTTGTCGTTGAGTTACGTATTTTTCGTAATCATTATGGGAATTCGATTTTAGATACTGCTTCCAATACATCTTCTTCCTGTTGACTTCCTCTTTGACCTCTTCATTCCACCATGCGGTTCTCTTTAGTCTTTGTCCTCTATTTATTTTTCCACAAGTTATTTCTGCCGAGTCCATCAGAAGTTTCTTGAAAGCTGACCAAGCTGTTTCGACATTGTCCGAGTCCCAGGGGTATATTCCACTAAGAACCTTTTCTTCTATCAGGTTCTGATAGGCAGTTACTATTTACTATTAATGATATGATGGGCTTGAGCTGTTTTACTATTTTTTGAATCATTAAAATGCTGGTTCATTCTTTTTTCTATGCCTATCAGATTCCTTCCTTGTAGACCAATATTCCTGATCATTATAATTTTAATTCTTTATTTTGATCATTTGAAAAAAATCATATATTCTTGCCTTCTATTTTTCATTATTACAGATACTGATCCTACATACCATGAAGATGAAGAGAACAGAATCGTGGATAATTTCAATAGAGTACAAGGTAAGTTATATCTACTTTACAAGTGCCTAATATACTATGTTATGTTAATATATGTAAATTTATATTTTTTGCAGATTTTTTTTTAGAATTATTTAATTAAAATCTCTCTCTTTGTCCCTTTGAAAAAAATAATAATTTGTACATTTATTATTAAACATTATATCTTTCTACTTCTTTTTTTTTTTTTTTTTAAGAGGACAACACCAAAATTAAATGTACAGATCACTGTATGCCAGAATATTATCATACAAGAAAACAAATAGGATTCCTAAAAATAGTATTTTTTAAATTTTTAGATCCTTACTTAGATTACAACAGGGGTTTACATCGGTATGAAGAAGGTACAAATGCATTCTACCTCAACAGTGGTATGTTATTTTTTTTTATATCCTCTGACATGAATAAATATGATTACTTGATGTCTCCATTATCACGATGTCTACAAAGAGTGAAAACGGAAAAGTCAGATATTGTTTTCAAAGTCAGGGTATTTTCACAAAATTTAAGTATAAAATAATAGAATTATAAAAGAAAGTACTCAAACAATTTTTGACTTTCTAACTGCCTAAGGTAGGAAACTTTGTATTAATGTGGGAGGTTACAAAAATAGCCCTTATAAAAAATCTTTACTTTGTTTTGTATGTCTCCAGTGAACGTATACCTCTAGCGAATTCAAAGAGGGCCTTGGTATGAAATCCCCCAATATGGAAAATATTTTTTTTTTGTATTCATCTACAATTGTTTCTGTTAGTGATTTTGTGACAAATACCTAAACAACACTCTATGTTATATTTTTTATAACAATAAAATTATAAATTATATAATTATGAATGCCAGAACTTCAACTAATAAATACAAGGATTTATCAAGAAAAAATATGATTTGTGGTATTACATGGCCAATGATAAAAAATTTCTTTGAAATAACTCAAAGTTAAGCACTTTAATTGTTGACTGTGCCCTGAGAAATTATATAAAAATTTTAACTTGATGTAGTTTAGTTTATTTAAGATTTTTATTGAAATATTCTTTTTATTGCTCAAATAAAATATCAGTGAAATTGATAAGTATCCATATGTTTTATTATAACAGTTTCCATTAGATATAGACAAATAAGAGACAAGTATGTACCGCAGATAGTATGTATAATGGCAATGGCAATAAAGATATTGAAGAGGGCGATAACTTTTCATAATAAATAATTAAATATGTAAGTATTTAAAGTCATTAAAAGTAGCTTAATATATGTGCTGGTGTACGGTGCTCAGACTGTCGGTGTGTCCCTGGCCTGAAGTATCGAGGCTCTATTTTAAAACTTTGAAGAGGATCCCATTGTTAACTTATAAAAAACTGGGATCGGAATGTCGAATAAACCCAGAAGCAATGAACATTTAGTAGTTTATTGAATAATTAATAAGTGATCTTATTTTCAATTAAATAATTATGCTAAAATATAATACTCAAAGGTCGATTGAAGGAAATTTATACTAAAATCAAACAATAATTTTAAAATAAAGTCAAGTATGAATTGGCAAGCTAACCTTTTTTCTATATACACTGTTTCTTCCTTTGTTGTACTAAATTCATTTGTCTTCAAATGCTTTCCAATGTTCTGCCAAACACAACTTCCAAATTGGTGACACTATCTTCTACTCAATTCAAGTTCCTTGGGAGATTCTCTCTCTTGTAATTCCAAACAAATAGTCTCTCTTTGCCAAACAACAACTTCCAAGATGGTAATATTATTACTGGGTTTTTCTCTCTGGAGTCAGGATCACTTCTCCTGTCCTCTTTTCTCTGCAGCCACACAACTGCTTGCGAAACCGAAACCTTTTTCTCTTGGGATTTTCCTTCTTGGAAAACTGCAGAGCAGCCATTCTCTTTTCCCTGCACTAATAGAACTAGATTAGCTTGCCTTTTAATTGTTCAACATTAATTTATTAAAACCTTTTTACTCACTTCCAATAAAGGTGCACTATATATATATATATATATATATATATATATATATATATATATATATGAATTCTTCGCAGATATCAGGAAAGAAATGGTAGGATATAAAGCGAGAAATACACAAATGCGCGGGAAAGATGGCAAACTGACGGCATCAAAAGAAAAGATTCTAAGCATCTGGAAGGAACACTTCCAGCAGCTGCTAATCAAGGGCACTCCACAAACGAAGAAGACATGGACCACACTGAGGACATCGATCCACTTGAGGTCTGTTGAAAAACCAGATATTCTGGATGTGGAAATAGCTATTGGCAGGCTTAAAAGAAGAAAGGCCCCAGGAATAGACAACCTACCATCAGAATTGTTCAAGGATGGGGAGAAGAACTCAGAGCCAAGCTGTTAGATCTAATCTAGAAGATATGGGAAAAGGAACAGATACCAGAAGCATGGAGCACAGAGTTGATCTGTCCTATCCTTAAGAAGGGCTCCATGTATGAATGTGGCAATTACAGAGGCATAGTACTTCTTCCGGTCGCCTATAAAATAATGACTAATATTCGGCTAAATCGGATATATCTGTATTATGAAAACATAATAGGCGACCATCAAACAGGATTCAGGAGAGGAAGGAGTACGCTAGATCAGATATTCATCCTAAAACAAGTACTTGAAAAACGATGGGAATTAGATCAGGACGTACACGCATTATTTGTCGACTTCAAATCAGCCTATGACTCCGTTGACAGAAACTGTCTCTGGAAGATCATGACTGAGCTGGGTGTTCTTGGGAAATTAGTGAGGTTGATGAAGGTGTGTACAAATGATCCTAAATGTAGGGTACTAATACAAGGAGAAGTATCTGAAGCCTTTGAAGTTTGAACGGGTTTGAGGCAGGGAGATGGACTCTTGCCGATGCTGTTCAACTTAGCACTAAAGAAAGTAATAAGAATAACATCACACGAAGATGAAGGAGTGCACGTTGGAATGAAACATAAAATCCTAGCATATGCCGATGATATAGCTATCCTTGGAAGTAATCAAGAGGATATTGAGAGACTCGCTCAGACTCTATTAAAAGAAGCAGAGCAAATCGGACTACAGGTAAATGTAGATAAAACAAAATACATGATAGTTACATGATAGCCGAAACATCCACCCTAATAACATGACCTGCATGGACTGTAAGTCATTCCCGAAAGTAGACAGATTCAAATACCTCGGCTCCACAATAACCTCAATAAATGATCAACTAACAGAGATAGAACAGCGAATAACAAGTGCGAACAGATCTTTCTTCTCTCTTTCAAAGGTACTGAAATCCAGAAAAATCTCCAGAAATCTCAAAATAAGGGTGTACAACACCGCGATTAAGCTAGTTCTGCTGTACGGTTGTGGAACCTGGGTTCTAACCGGCACACTAGAAGCCAGAATTGAGAGATTCGAAAGAAAAGTTCTACATAGGACAGGACCTATATGGGGCCAGAACCTTGACACATGGAGGAGAAGGAACAATAAAGAACTGCTGAAAGAAATGGGTCAGTCAATATCTCATGACATGAAGGCAAGGAGGTTAATATCTCATTAATTAATATATCTCATTATGATTATTGAGCCTCTGTGAATCGAATATTCTTATGATGCAATTTAGTAATGAATCTTTCATATTTCCTTTTGGCCCCTTCATACCTTCTCCTTGTAATTAAAGTTAGTAAACATGCACAAGTTTAGTTTGAATTTTATTTATTTTACTATTCGTTCTTTGCGATAGTTATTAATGAATATTTTGATAATTTTATAAACATTTTTATTACATTTCATCTATTTTTTTTACTTTTTTATTTGAAGGAAGTAAGAATTTTTTTTTACAGCACAGAAAAGACTTTTCTATCAGGATACAACTGACTTTGTAGACATCCTGCATAGTTTATAATATATAAATATTCAAAATTTAGTCTAATATTTAATTTAAAAATATTTATTTTCTAAACTATCTAATTTGTATGTGAGTGTGTGTGTGTGTTAAAGAATCATTTATTGCTATTTTAATTTTCTAAAAATTAATATAGTACATCTTTTTTTTATCCATATATAGGTAATTACATAACATAAAAATTATTAAATATTTTTAATGTAGTAGCTTGTATTAGAATCAAAACACTAATAATGGTCTATTTTAACAATTTTCAGAATCTTTGTTTTCCAGAAGGGAACCATCCCATTATGTAAATGGCTCTAATGCTTATAGAAACAATGGTTAGTCTAATTACATTTAATAATTTTATACTTTGTAGGTTATGATTGAAAGATTCCAAAAGGAAGCCTTCATGCTCTCAAATGGCAGTAAATAAATAACTAGGGGAGGTTACGGACTTGGGGTCTCATATTTTAATGAAACATTTTATGGTGATACAAGGTCAAAAAATATTAGACCCATGTCCGAGGATTCTTGCCTAAGAGCCGAGAAAAAAAAAAAATTATTATTTTTTAATGTTACTGTTTTCTGACTTTGCTCTGAATGCATTTATAAATTATTATATATCAATCAATTTGTTTCGTTTTTTGTGTAAAATAACAAAAATATATTGCTTATTGTAATTAATGAATTCTTATGTATAATAAATTACAAAAACCTATAGACACTTCCAGTAAAGTTGACCAAGTAAATTTTTTTCATGAAAAAACTATTCAAATTCGTTTTTAGGGTTCACTAAAACTCTTAAATACGAGTTTGTTTTGAAATAAAAAAGTATACATTTTTGGACATCATTTTATGAGAGGATTTTTTGTTGGAACAAAAAAGTATAAATTTTTGGACATCATTTTATGAGAGGATTTTTTGTTGGAACTGTTGGAAAGCTAAATTATTGTTCTTCAAAACTATATTGATAACTTTGATATTTCACGCTTTTTTAAGGAATAAATAAATAAAAATTTAATAAACAGTTTTATTTTTTATCTTTAAGCCTAATTTATTTAAGGAAATCTGCTTTTGTGCCATTTTGTGTATATTATAGGCCATGATTCCATAATATATTAATAGAAAAATAAATATATTTTGTTCGAGGTAGAAAATACAAATCTCAAATAGTACTGAAATAAATAGTACTGACCTAAGGTATAAAGTAGGTTCAAATGTTTTTTTAAGGAGAGAGAAATTTGAGATTTGTATTTTCTACCTCGAACAAAATATATTTATTTTTCTATTGAAATGAAAATTTCCATAATATTAATATATTATGGAATCATGGCCTATAATATACACAAAATGGCACAAAAGCAGATTTCCTTAAATAAATTAGGCTTGAAGATAAAAAATCAAACTGTTTATTAAATTTTTAATTATTTATTCCTTAAAAAAGCGTGAAATATCAAAGTTATCAATATAGTTTTGAAGATCAACAATTTAGCTTTCCAACGGTTCCAAAAAAAAAATCCTGCCATAAAATGATGTCCAAAAATTTATATATTTTTATTTCAAAACAAACTCGTACTGAAGAGTTTTAGTGAACCCTGAATAGTTTTTTCATGACAAAAATTCACTTGGTCTACTTTACTGAAAGTGTATGGATTTTTGTATTTTTTTATATATAAGAATTCGTTTAATACAATAAGCAATATGTTTTTGTTATATTACAAAAAAAAAAAAATATATATATATATATATATATATATATATATATATATATATATATATATATATATATATATATATATATAATTACTTATATATTCATCCAGAGAAAAGTCAGAAAATAGTAACATAAAATATAATAAAATATTTATTTCATATTTTTAAAAAAATACTTTCTAATATCATATATTTCGACCTAGTTTCACCAAAAAAAGTTTCGTTGAAATCAGTGACCCCACGTCTGTAACCTCACCTTGTAAGTAGTCAATGTTTGTCCAATTCTGCTTTTTTGTAAGAGTAGAAATGGAAAAACAATATCATATTGATACAGGACAAAAATGGTCATTCCAATTTCACTTCAACAGCATAAAAAAAACTTACCAAATGTATTAGTTCACTTCACAACAGTTCTGCCTCTACTGATCACTTTTCTGCTATTTTAGACATATTTTATAGATTTCAAAAATATATTTTTATCCCACCTTAACATTAATAAATTAGTTTGGTGGCTCAACTATCTATAGACAGATTTTCTTTGAGAGGACAAAAAAAAAACTGAAATTTCTTTATTTGAAAATATTTTTATACTAAATTTTGATCACCTTCAAAGTAATTCCATTGAGTGTAATGCATTTGTCAAATTGCTCTAGAAGTATTCGCAGGGAGTCCAATAATGGCCTTTACGCTCCTGCGAATCATAATGCTGTCCAATATGGCGGGACGCAGTTTGGAGAGAGTAAGACCCGGGAACAGATATGGATTGACAATGTTGAGTTTCTGCTCAGGTTTAAGTAATCAAGGGGTTACCAGCTTGTTTAGATTATCATTCAATTTAGTCACCGAATCTTCGTTGAATTGTAGCTAGTTAAATGTGCATCCTAAATACTTAATCGTCTCTCCATTCTTCAATGTTTGGATGTATTCTCCATTCTCAAGGGAGAGCACCGCAGTTTTCAGCTCTCCTTTATTTAGAACGATGCCCATGCTTTTTTTGAGAATTTATAGCCAAACCAATTTCTTGAAATGTCCTCTGTATGCTGTCAATCACTCTTTCTGCAGCCCCCTTTTCTCCCGCCGACACAGCCTTGTCATCCCCGAAACCTGTGAGGACCACACAATCTTGGTCATTTCTTAATTAATATCCAAATTTCTTTGGAGAAGATTCAGTGACACACCTCTTGCTTCTAAGGAGCTAACAGTGTATTTGTGGCCAACATTGTCAAAAGCACTGACAACGTCGAGGAAAACTATCGCACAATCATTTTTCATTTTCTGTGGATCTTTCAATATTGTGTCTATAATGCTGGCTTTGACGTGCGTTCCTGGGAGGCCTTTTATAAAGCCTCTCTGATTCTTGTGGAAGGTGACCTGCTTTCTTAATTAGTGGTTTAACCTTCTCTATGATTCGGCGTACAATCAAATATATGATGATCGGTCTCCAGGTAGAGATATTGTTTATATCACCTTTGCCCTTATATATTAATATTGTGCTCCCCTGTCTAAGTGGTTCATTGACATAGGCCACCTTCAGCATTATCTCTGCAATCATTTTGATAGTATTTGATACGTCAAAATATTTGATTGTACGGATCAAAACTCGCATCAGGCCCCGGCGATGTGTCCATTGATGTTGACTTAATGGCTTTCCTGACAGCTTCTATCTCAATGGACAGCGAATTTGGTATCGGGGCACATTGTTCGTAATCCGCACGCCCGCAGAGATTTTCGCTTTCAAAGAGGTCTTTATAATGCCTCTCGATTTCGGCCATATTTAGAGGACACAGTTTAGGAGCATCGGTATTCATAACAGTTTTCACAACCTTTTTTCTTTTGTTGTAATAATTATATTGAGCAACCTCATACTTTTACTGCTCTTGCCAACGATCCCTGTCTACTTTGTTTGCTTTCTGCGGATTTGAAACTTGTTCAGCACCCTTGTCAGCCATTTTCATTTTATTTTGTTTCCTCATCCTATAAAATTTGATGGCTAGGTGCTGGTAGTTCCGTGTTGATAACTTTGAGGAACTTTAGAAACTTACCTACGTCCTCATCAAAATCCGCAGTATTTACCATCTTTTGCTTTGATAGGTTCTTGAACATAGTAGACCATCCAACAATGTCCTCTTTTATTTTTGATGTCTCACCCTCTCCATTTCTAGGACCTATCGCGTTCTTCACTATGCCCCTCAATGTATTGTTGTTAGCCTCCCTGGGATGTTTTTTTGCAATATGGATTCCGAGACCTCGTTCGCCCTTAAAAGAAAGCCTGCATATTGGACAAACTGTATCATCAGGGCGTAGAGCTTTATCTTGCCGCTCACTATGTACCTCTGCGACATTCTGCGGACCATTTGGCAATCTGGGAAAGACATAATCTATCGACACCATCTTTCCCACTACCAGACCTTCTGTGCTGGGCCATTCTACTTTAACAAATGTATTTTGTCCACCTCCTGCAGTAGCCACAGACATCACAGAGGCAACAACCGCCTCTTGAACAGGTCCTCCAGTTCTCAGAACCCATACCTTTTGACCAACTTCGAGACTATGCCCACTATGCGCATGATTGAAACAATCTGTTAAAGGAGTGTGAAATGTATAATTAAATAAATAAATAAGTAAAAAGTTATAAACTATAAAATCAATTGTTAATAAATTTAGTTAGGATATAAAATCAATAAAAGGTTAAAAAGTATAAATCTATCAAATAAATTGCCTATAAATAAGTTACAATATAGAATCAGCAAAAAGTTGAAAGTTAAAATTTAAAAACATTAATTGCCTAAAAAAAAGTGAAAGTTAAAATCTAAAAAAGGCTAAAAATTAAAATCAAAAAAATAATTACATAAAATGAGTTACAATATAAAATCAATAAACTGTTAAAAAGTTAAAATCTCAAAAAAGAAATAAATAAAACAATAAAAATAATAATTGCCTAAAAATCAGTTAAAAATCGAACAATAAAAATTTAAGAAATTAATTTCTAAAAAAACAAAAATATATATACATATATCCATATCACAATAGTAAATTTAATATATTGTCTAGGGTATAATATAAAATATAAGATCGATTTTTTTGACTGACCACCCCAACTATTCTTCTCTTCATTATCCACGACAGTCAACCAATTACCAATTATTAAAAATATAAGATCATTAAAGAATGTAAAAAACAAAATCAATTCAATAATACGTTAAAAGATTTGTACATATATAGGTCTACTTTAATAATTTGATTTAAAATGTCATAGAAATTAAAAATTATAATAACAAACATTAATTTTTTTTTTTTTGTATTTAATGAGAGAAAGCGATTGAATATATAAACTAGGTAACAGTAAAATTCGTTGGGCTCCTTCAATGATTGTATCGATAAGACAACACTGACCTTGCTGGAGGTGGCTGCTGAGAAGTGGTGGGGACCGCCAAGTATTAGGTTGCAATAAGAACTCTGGTCCTACAAGCACATCAACTTCGTTGCCTTCTGATCCCAGCCAATATCCTCGCTCAATTTTCATTAGATTTCATATGCAGGTCTTTAACACACAGCTCCGTCTAGGTGTAAAATTTCAGCTCAATTGGACGAAAAATACCCAATCATAGATGATGATGACGTGGAGCCGATTTTTTTCTCTCACCGGCTCGAGCCGAACTATTAAATAATTAGGTATGGCCGTTTATTCCAAAAAATCATCAAGTACACTTTTATAAAATTAAATTAGTAAATAATTTGATGAATTTTCCCTTTGTGAAATCCCAACATTATCCACTTACAATTAGTTTGATGATAACTTTTGATAAACAATGAACGTTTCATAATTTCATTTTAGTAAACTTAAAAATGGAAAATAATTAATAGTCCTGCAATCCATAATAATTTATAGGTTAAATATTCAGATATACTTTCAAATGTCTCTTGCTATATATGAGCCTTTCGATTGACAGAATGCCTAACTCCAATTTCAACATTCTTTATAATTAATTTTAGTGATTTTTCTAGTGGTGAAAATTATCTTTATTCGCAGTTTTTATTTCAACACTGCTATCACCTACTCTATAATCTACTTACTCACTGTCTGTATAGATATAACTTTTCCAACTAGAAATATCGCTAAAATGAGGTTACTCAAAAATTTTGAAATTGGAGTTAGTCATTCTGTCAACTGAAAGGCTCAGAGACTGAAGTTATGTGGTTTATAAAAGAAGATAGAGTAACTAGAGTTTTATTGCTTACCGTCAATATAATAAATAGACTTTTGTAATTTTAATGGTCTTAATTTTTTTGTTACCTGTAAGCTTTAAGCTGCACCTCAAAAATTTTACAATAGCCCATCATTATTGCCAAAAAATAATTTATATTTAAAGCAGAGCGGTAAGTGAAAGTTGTGTGTTAGGCACACCAGATTTTTTTTTATGTTGGTATGTACTCCACATCATTAACAGTTACTTTTCCATTTGAAAATTTCATATGAAAGGCTCCATAATTGACTTGTCTTTAAATAGGTATATCGAGCACTCCAATGTAAAGAATAAAAATTAATAACCTGACAAATTAGGAAAACGATATTACTTTGTTACATTATGATTTCAATACTCAGAATAATATACAGAGTATATTACAAACAAAAATAAAATATGCAAAATCAATAAAATAAAAACAAAAACTAATAAAATAAAAAATTGCATTTGTAATTATTCATTTAAATAATGTAACTAAGGTTTTTTAGCACATGCTTTCTCTTCTCTTCAATCTACATCATAATTTGTTCATTTGTTTCTCAGAATACTTTTCTCCACTTGGACCATCAAGACATTGTTTTGTCTGTCATGATAATTCAAGACAAGGTACATTAAAGCCATGAGTCAATCTCATATTTTTTATTTGTGATGACTTTTTTTGCTCATTTCATCTCGTTGTATCTATAGTTTTTTTTTGTTTTGTTTTTTCTACGAATTCTACAGGCAAAGATTCCTTGAAACAAAACTTTATATAAGGAAATTTTGATATGATCATAATATAATAAAAATTAATTTTCTCAACTTTGACTATATTCAGTCAAACCTCTTTACGAAACATGAGTATATGAAAAAAAAAATGATAAATAAAAATTGTATTATAAATAAAAGACTAAATGCAATTTTTCATCTTTGTTGTTCTAAAAATTATTAAAATATTTTTTTAGTAATAAAAAAAGTAACGAAGGCAATTTTTTTTATTCATGTAGTACATTCAATAACTCTTTTTATAAAACTTTAAGGACAAATTTTTTCCAATTTTCTGTATAACTTTCAAATGTTTTAATGACCAGAACTCATATTTTGTGAATTGTTCATACTTAACTGGTTGTAACTTCATAGTTTACTGTAAAAAAAATAATTTATCTTTAACACATAATAATTTTTGTTTAGGAGCCATATCAAGAGAGACAAAGTTAAATTGAATGAAAATTTCATCCTAATTTTGGTTTTCAGGATTTGATTCTTTGGTTCCTTTTCACCGAAGGCAAATGGATGTTGCTAATGTTTCCCGTAATATATCAGGTAATTAATTATTTTGAGTATATCATGCTTGCTTAAAATCAAATTTTCTATAAGTGCACTTAATTAACTAGGTGTGTAAATATGGAACCGGAATTTCGGTGTAGAAAATATATGTTTATTGCATAAAATGTTAAAATATATTTGATTCAAAATATTTTACACTCTGATAATTTATGATTGCCAAACCAGAAAAAATGTTGGTCTTTGTATGTTTCCATAAAAAGTGAAGCAATGCCTTGTTCCATTGACGTAAATTAATAGTAGTAATATAAATTTATTTTTACTACCTCAGACTGAACACAGGAGATGGTATCACAAAATGCCCAAGAAAAGTAACAGCCTTTATCAAGAGAGAGAGCACCTAGGCCTTAAAAGGTGACCGAGCTATGTCGCAAGCTTTGGTTGGTTGACTACTGTAGGAAATTTATTAAGAATTGTACACAAAAATTGCAACACTCTACCAATTGTTATGGTATCTGATAAGGCTGTTTTGAATAAAGGTATTCTTTCATAATACCCTATAGGCCAAAACCTTGGAGTAAAATGGAAACATAAAAGTTAAGACAGTTTTGTTTTAATGTTTTATTACAAATAATAAACTATATCAAATAAGTTACTTCTCGTGACTATCATCTTGTCTTTGTTCATTTCAATTTTTTTTTTCCGGTGAAATCAAATCATATTCTTCATCATTAAACACTTCATAAACCTCTTTGTGATTTGTTGTAAGGTCTTTTTTTTCAAATTGGTAAAAAAAAAGTTTTCTGACAAAACTTTTCCACAAATTTTACATTTATTTTGTTTTTTGACATCTACATCATAATCATTTTTATATCTATCCATATTCACTGTAATATTTATAATTGCATAATATTTATTATTTATAATTAATATCTTTGAAGCTCAAGAAAGTATGTATACTAATTGTATCTCGGTTTTCAATTTTTTTTTTTCCAAATACATACATATATATTTAAATGTTATCATATTTGGTTCAATTTCTTTATGATCTGTCGTTTCCTTGAAGTTGTCTTTAAATTCCATTTTTTTTTCTTAATATTTAACAAAACAAACTCTTTTTTAAAGAGCTAAAACAAAATAAAAGTTAAACTTTTATGATATACTTAGAACTTTATTGCAAAAAAAAGCTCCTTGGAACTTCTTTAGTAAAACTTTTATTTCAAAAGAGTTTTTTTTAAAATGGAACTTTTTAAAAAAATTTCAACCTCAGCTTTGTTGAAATTGCAGGTAATTATATTCTATGATTCAGGTAATTAAATTCTGAACTAAAGATTATTTAATAATTATCCATTTTATCTCGAAAGAATTTAATAGAGAAATTAGTCTATAATTTTATTTTCATGTATATTTGAATTCATCTTTAATTGGATTTCTTGAATGCAATACACGTATCATTTCCAAATTTCTTATAACTTCACAAAGATTGTTTTAGATCAGAACTAGTAGTATTAAAATAAATAACTTTAGTGAATTTCTGTTTCATTTCCTATATTTTTTTTTCAGCTGAAGAATTTTCCCACTATGAGACCTTGCCATGGCAGGGAGATTATAGGGGTAAGTATTATCTTTTATGTGACCCAATATGAAGATAAATTGTTAAAATGTTTTTCCTCTATTTATTGTCTTCTAGTCTATCCTTATTTATATAAATATTTTGTATTTTTTATTTGAAATTCATTTTATCTTTATTTAACTTGGTGCAATTTCTATTATTTTCCATGTATCATAATTTTTGATCTTCTGGATTGTATGGATTATTTCCCTTCTCCATGTTATCTTTTGTCTATTTTAAATTATTACTATTCTTATTTCAAGTCTAATAATTTTTGTTTTTAATCTAATTTATTTTGTTTTGTTTTTAAATCTTAGATTTGTTGATGATGTATCCATACTTATTATTAATATTTTTTATGTCAGTTATAAAATTCACAATGTGATCGATTTTTTTAGTAACAGACACAAGTATTCTTCTGCTCCTTGAATTCCCCTCTCTATTTAATAACTTAGATTTTCAAAATCAAAAGTGTTAGTTTGTAAAACTTTGGCTGTGTTAACGCTGTTGTATTTATATTTTTGCATTACCTATATGTTTTATAATGCTTATATTTAATTTTCTTGATGTTTCCCCAATTTATGCCTTTTGAATTTATTTTGTACTACTTGAATGTAATTTGTACACAGTAACTATAAAATTAAATACAAAAACGTTGATTATAGCCAAGGCCTTTTTATGCAATTAAATATTTTGTTGTGTGATTTTTTTTAACCACTGATCGAAAATCTTTACGAATCAGTACACTATGATGTAATTAATCAAATTTTATTTTGCATATTTGAGGATAAATGCATATATTTGCATATAGTTGATTAGTGTATGAGTGAATATGTGTAACACCAAATAATTTTTTTAAAATGTGACAAATATTTAATTTTTGACAAATGGTGCCACATCAACAAAAAAAGAATGGTAAATAATTGTTAAATAGATAAATTGGAATGATATTGTTAGATAGAAATTAATATAGAAAATGTTCATAATTTCAGTAAAAATAAAAATATTACTCTGATGATGGGAAAATTGTCCCGAAACGTAAGAGACAAAAAGCATAAATAAAAAAAATATGAAGAAAATTGGAAGTTTTATTGCCTAAAATATGAAAAAAATATAAACGTAAGCTTCCTAATACAAAAGAAAAATAAGAAGATAACATATATTTGCATATTTGAGGATGAACGCATATAATTGCATATTTTGCTTAATTTAACAAAATAAAAATATATAAATGAATATTTATTTATTTATTTATTTACTTATTGCTATGTTTTATCTCCACAAAAGGGATGATATTAAAAATTGTTATGTTCTGGGGTGTATAATTTTATTCGGGATGCAACTGGATAATTACTGATGATAATTACCCAGAAATGTTCAATAAAAAATTAGTAAAATAAATTTGGATCTATCATATATTGATTGGTCCAGAATTAATTAATTGGATTTCTTTTCTCAAAGGCTGGTTTGTGTTTATCATGCTTTCTAATTACACACATTACCTGTGATCATCATGATATAAATAGGTGGCAGAATTAAAATAACTCTTACTAAAAAACTTAATTTATTTCTATGTTTAATAAAGAATATATACAAATTATATTTACAAGAACAAAATACGTGATTCAATGAATTTAATAATTAACTGTGAAGGCATGATTTCAGATGGACTGTTTTGAGAATTTTTGCCATGAAATATTATAACATTAGGATTGGGAATTACAACTTATCTATTGTCTATGAAGTGGTGTGATTGGTAGATTTCATCGCTGCATCTGCTGATCCGAGGTCATCTGGCAAGGCCAGGTCCAAAACTCTGCCAGAATCTTCATGGTCTTTGTTTCCCCAAGGCTTTAGTCCTCAAGCCGGAAGAAAACATAAGACCTATCCTCCAGGCCGAAAATCCACATAAGACCTATTTTCTTCCTTCTCGGCATATTATATACAAATATTCAGGGTAGGGCAAGGATGGTTTCCATTGGTTCTTAAGTCCACGCTATTACTTCACAATAGCTGGTAACACCCTAAAAGAAACCTGTTACTTAGCCCGTTGCTAATTTTTACTTATTTAATCTTATTTTGCATCAATGGATATGATCGTAATTCACAAATATATTTTCAAAAGTTAGACTTTCTCAAATTGCATTTAGCGACTATCTGCAGTAAACTGACGAAATGTACTATGAACCTCCTCAAGCTTTGCATGAAATTTGTCCTAATTTTCATTGGTAAAAGTAAAATTGACTAAAATTTATTTTTTTACCTAAAAGTTTATAGATTTTAAAACAGTAATTAAATCTGAACAACAGAAGTTATTTTATTATGTGTTAATACAGTAATTGATTTTTGGTTTTATATATATTTTAAATGATTTCGATATTTAAATTTTTTTAATGTGGTTCATGTCATGTTTTTGACCATTAAAATGTATATATGTATATTATAATCTTATTTTCTGTACATGTTTAGTTATTTTCATTCTTTAGTTTAGATAGTTAAAAAAAACTTAAATTATTGTAAATTTTAATCCCTCCATAATTTCATTTTGAAGCATTTTGTAGGCACATCAAAATGTATGTTCAAATACATTACTGATAGATTAGTCATCAAGTAATTAGTAAGTTTGGCTTATTTAGAGATTAATTACTGTACATTTCATGTTTTTACTGCATATTTCAGAGTTTTTTACTGCATATTTTGTGGGTTTTTACTGCATAAAAATCTGGGCCTTGATTATAGCCAAGAACTCTGGCTCGAAATTAATAAGGTCTAGACAAAATTTATGGTTAGCTGCAAAAATGGCTACAATTTCGGTGATAAAGATATAGAAGGTAATATTTAGAGAAGTTTGAGTATTCATAGTCAATGATAACTATAAAAAACGAAATTAAGGAAGTTAAGGCTAGGTTGAAGGTAGTTAAAGCTTGTTATTTTTTTTTCCAATACTACTTGGCTCACACCTCCTTTCGCGAAACTTGAAAATTAGGATTTACAAAAGCATTATCCTTCCTACGATTCTTCATAGATGTGAAACATGCCTGCTTAAGTAATGAGCAACTCCTTAAGGTTTTTGAAAATAATGTATTGCTTAGAATATTTGGACTGGAGAATTTAGACAGTTATTTATTTATTTTATTAAATTTAGACACCCAAATCAAATCAATTGGTTTTTGTAATTAAGGTGATTATATTGTAAAAAATATAATAGGTATGTAAAATTTTTGTGCTGAGTAACGAAAGAATCTCTAAATATGTGCTGTGCAGAAGTTTGAAGAACTCTGATTTAAAGAACAAATATATATAATTGCACTGTACATCTGGTAGAAATTTTCAAATAGGTAATTAATTTCTTATTGATTTTGTAGATTACTTACCACCTGCAGAATATGCTCACTATCAAGTATCTTCATGGCAGAATGCTTACAATGGTAAGTTCACTTAATAATTATAATGCCCAATATTATGCATTAGTGATATTTTTAAATATTTATTTTTTCTATGTCAATATTTAGATATCTTTTTAATGCCTCTTACATATTACCTGTTTTTTGTACTCAATCACATCTTCAGTGGGCAAAAATGTCCTTACCAAGAAATTTATGTTCTACAATCCAAAGATTCTTGACTACTCATTAAAGTATTTGCCAAGAGTCCTTGTTCTGATCCTTGTTGTTGGCAGTTGCCTTCCAGTGTCTAATCGAAATTCTTGACGTATGGATCAAACAGTCATAACTATTATATCCTCAGAATTTTCACTATCCATGTCCTTGGCATACCTCCAATAGTAGCTTCTTTAGACTTGTGCATTTCCATGTTACAATCATAACTATCTATACAAATTTCATGTTTTCTAGTAGTTTTCTCATTATCTTTCACCTGATGCACAAACCGATCTAGATATAAATGGGAACTTCCCATACAAATATTTGGAGATGTTTCCTCAGCTTTGGTTGTTATGCAAGCACATGATCCATTTGTAAACATGATTAAATCATACAATTTAGTCAATTTTTTTCATTTTATAAAACTCTTGTGCCACATTCATCAGTACAAACATAAGTATTACCTTATTAGAGTAATTTAACATCATTAAAAGATGTCACACAACAAATTCTTTTATGTATGGGTCATTCCACGAAAAAGATCCTTTTGGTGTTTCAAGATAATTTCTGTTCGACTCTTTTAGTTCAACAATTTTTATTTAATTTTAGCTTTCTGCTAGTTTTAATTGGATTATAAGTTCCAACTAAAATTCAGTTATTATGTGTGATAAATAAAATGGTCATTTATATCATTCAAGTGACATTTTTAATTTTAATATACTTTAATTGTTCTATGACTGAGAGTATTATAATTTTCTCTTTTACGCCTATTTATAAGATGCATAATGAAGTGTCAGAAACTTAATAAAAAGTGTATATTGATTAATTTTAATTAGCTATACTATTCTTGTCATTACTTCATCTTGAATATTTTTAAGCTCCTACGTTAGGTATGTGGAAGGGATAGAGGGATAGGAAGAGCTCTCAATGTTATGGAGTCATCTTGAACAAGTAAACCACTTGGGAGGGGGAGGGAAGGAAACAGAGGGATAAATCACTTCATCTTGAGGCATTTAAGGTTTCAATTGTGTTTTCATGTGTGTGTTTTAATTGATTTCATTACTTCACCTACTTTGACCAATATAAAATTTCAAGTCTAAATTTTTAAACATATTCTTTATATCATATATAATGTTACGATTGTTAAAAAAATTATTATTTTTCATGCAAGAGGAATAAAAATTAATAATTTGAAATTACAATCTTGTCATTACATTATTCAAAAACATTTCATTAATTGTATTGTATTAGTGAATTAATTGTATTGAAAGTGAAATAATGAATAAAATCATCTGTATTTTTTTCAAATTTTGCATAGAAAAGTCCAATCCTACAAATTGAATTGACTCCTTCGTAATTTTCTGTGAAGGAAAAAAAGTCGTACTCTGAGAAATATTAAACCAAATTACTGTTATAGATGTTTTGTGCTTAGATTAGGTATTCTTTAATTCTGAAAACATTTTTATTTAAAAAAATATATATTTGTTGTTTGATTTTATAATATTGGTGTATAATTTCCGGTTAATGAGTAAGAAATTGGCTACAGACTAGTAGTCAATTTTTTCATATCAGGTGTGGCTGATTAAAATCAGTCTTCATTACATTAAAATTCACTGCAGTAGTGAAGAATGCAGAAAAAGAAAAAAATTCATACTAATATATACTGCATCAACTTGTATGAAAGGTCGTTTAATCATTGAATCTAAGCTGTTTTCAAATATATGTTCAATTGATGACTATTTTTCTAGCCCTCGACATTTATTATCAATGGGACTATTAAATGAATTTTAGAATATGAGGAGAAATTATCTTTAACCTTGATATAATAATGTTCCAGTCCGCCAGGTGATTTCAAATTAAAAATAAACTCTAGTAAATAGTCATACTTCCTAATCTCTGAGCTGTAGAGCTGCATAGTAAGTAAGAATACTATTGTGTAGTTCACTCGTAAACTGATTTCATAAAAGTTTATGATGCTATTGATTCCAACAGTTATACAATGTTTTGATAAATTACAGAATACCATAGAAATTAGTAAATAATTTTTAATGATTACTTTTTACTAATTTTATTTAATTTAGAGTGGAATACTTCATTAAACTGATAATTCTTCCAATGTTAGGCAAGCTTACTAACTTGTGACATCGAAGCATCAATGTTTGACTACACCAATGGATTAGTATTATTAGACAAAGATGCAGAAACTATTAAATCAAATATAACATGAATGGTAGTAAAGAATTAGGAGGCTTCAAAACAAATATTAATGAACCGATATACATGGTTTGTAGTAAGAATCACTGAAAGATTTTCAGTGGTTTATATAAAGAGAGGAATATATAAATGGATATAGAGGAGTAAAACAATGACAGGTTTAAGTAAACCGGGTTTTTAATGTCTGGAAAAAAAAACAAGAATGTAGAGCACTATACAGCAATAATATAAATGTGTTGGGCAGGAGGAATACAATATCGGAAAGGTTTTCAAAATGATCAAAGATAATATGATTTAATAAATATGGAAATAATTATTCATAAAAATTACTACTTAAGTTGTAAATTCTATGCAAGTTCGGTTCTTTATTATTGTATTTGGATGACTGTATGACTCATGTTTGTATTATTTTTGTTTTTAGAAGGGCTACTGATGCAGAATAGATTTTGGAATAATAGTATGTTTTCTTCAATTCGGATTACGTGTCCTGATGGAGGTATATTATGTCTTAATGAAAACTCTTATTGTTTGAGGAGGAGAGTTTCATTAAATAATGAATTTGAAACATGATTTTTTTTTCTATTTGTTATAGTTGTCTTATGACAATTAATAATCTTTATTTAAATTTCATGTATTCTCTAGGCCTTCTTTTCATAAGTTTTTTTTAATATAACATAGTATTAAAGTGAAGTATTATTATCCAATAAATATCTATAATATGATGTAATAAATAAAAATCCTAATATATTATTACCAACTTCTTCATTTTGAGCAAAATGAGGATAATCTACCCTACCATTTGATACTCAATGAAAACAAATGAACAAGTAATTAATTAAACATTTGGAACTTAATATTTATAACATTTTGATTATTTATTAGGGTTTTATTTATGTATAATTTAGCAAAAGTTAATAACTTTGTCTCCCTAAAAGTATTATTTTGTAATACATGAAAATACTGTTTATACTCTACTGATAAATATAATTAAATTTGTCTTAGTAGAAACCAGGTCTATTATATCTTAGTTTCACATGAATCACCTTTCAACTGAAAAATATTATCCTGGATAAATTTATTTCTTGATAATGTAAATTTAAATCTAAAAATAACAAAAAAATAAGATTAATCCAGTTTAATACTCTTTAACAATTGTTAGTTATAGAATAAAAGTAATGGAAGCTACTACTATGACTATATAAATACCATGTTTCATAATTATTATAAATTGCAGCTTTTATTTTCTTAAATAATGTTACAAATAAATAGCATGGTATTTAAAAAAAAAAAAAAAACTGGCCTTCACCCTACATTTATTTTAACTGATCATACTAATTATAAATTATTCAATGATATTTTTATAATTCAGAAATATTATTTTTTATATGGTTTTTCCCCAGTATAAAGTGAACAACAAACTGATTAGTTTTTAATATTACATATCTGAGAAATTGTGTGAGGTTTTCTACCAAAAAATACTGTAAATGTTTATGGGATCTAACATGTCCTCTCTATTACTGAGCTTATCGGTTTTAATTAAATCTGTAGTGTGTTTACTACTGTGATGTTATTGTTTTATTTCAATAAATGTATATAAATGATTATGTTACTATGCTTTAAAAGTTCTACTTTCTATACTTGTGTTCTGTTTAAATATTTTGACTTTTTGTGTAACATATAATATATTTAATGTTGAATATAAAGACTGAATATTTTCTGTGTCTTTTTTTCTTCTTTTTGTTTTATTATTAAAACCTGTCCTTAAAACCAAAACAAAAAACGATATATTTGTTTTTCAGGCAGGTATTTTAAACTCGTAACTGTCTATTTATAAACAAATATATGTTTTAATGGTAAGAGAAAAAAAATTTCAATAGAAACCTTGGGTTAGAAAGGATTGTTGAAATGTTGCAATAAGATAGGTAGGATATAATTTAAGGACAAACTGGTGGTTTTACTTATTGATTATCAGTGTTTTAAGGAGCTTGGATTGTTTGGGAAGGAGCCAAGTAAGTAAATTTGATGATAGGAAAGTATTGATCCTCTGGACTTAGTATACAGAGAAAACATGGGGATCACAGCAGATCTATATGAGGTATCACAAATTATATGTTGAGTTGTCAAAAAAGGGTATAATTATATTTCTATAATAATCACATATTTATTTTTTGTGCTATGGATCTGGATCTGCAAGAACCAGGTCCATCCTCTCTTTTAATCCTACTCTGCCTCATATAGCCATCTCAGATGTGGTCTTCCTCTGCCACATCTTCCACTATGTTGATCCTGGAGCAGGCTTTTGGGAATTGATTTTCTAGATATACGCCCCATATGACCTAAATATCTGATTTGGTTACTCCTCACAATTGAGAAAGAATTCAGCATCGCATAGATCTCATGCAGTTCTTCATTGGTATGAATTATCCACTGCCCATGTTCACACGCTGGACCATAGAGCCTTTCTGAAGCCTTCAGAATCGACTAAGTCTTAGAATCATAGGTGATGACAGGTCTTATGACTTTCTCATATAATGTGATCTTTGTTTAATGAGAGAGAGATCTATAATTTAGTATTTTTCACATGGCAAAACAGTATCTAATTTCACTAGCCATTCTTGCTTTCAGTTCTTCCATCATTTCATTATTTTCAGTTATTAGACCACCCAAATACTTAAATTTAGACCGCTTTCAGAGTGTGATTTCCTGTTTTGCCACATTTGTCTATTTCATTCGGCTTTGTTGAAATTTGCATGAAAACAGTATTCTGCTCATTGATTTGTATAACTATCATGTACGTAAATAAAATTCCCAATAACAACTGATTATGTTATAAATATTTGAGTAAAGTCTTTATAGAATAGAATAGAAAAATAATTTTATTCTGGGACGAAGTCCCTTCAGAATAACAAAAAAGTACAGAAATAAAAATTTTATATCTGGCCAGATAAAAACAAACATAAAAAGTTAAGATAAAGATAAATCACTAAAAAAAAAGAAAAAAAAATATTCGTTATACATACTATATACAAAATAAAATAAAGAAATCTATATACAAAACTCTTGAAACCATACTAAGATACTTAAAACTATGTACAAGTGTTAAAATATAAATAAACTCTTTTAGAAAAAATAAAAAATACAGAAAAAATAAATGTAAATTCTTCTTAACAGTAAAATCTGTTTCTGTTGAAAAAAAAAAAAGAAAAAAGAAAGTCGAATCTATAATAAGTATTTAGGTTATGAGCTATATGTGAATATGTTATTATAAATAATATGTAATTTTACATAAAAGGTTAGCTGGTATCTGACTGTTTTTGGGACAGGAATTGGAATAGGAGGGTTTTGAATGTAGATAAGGATGAAGAATGTCGAATTTTGATAGGAAGGAAGTTCCAGAAACTAACAGAACGAGCAATAAAGGAGTTTTGGAACAAGGCAGACCTGTGAGAAGGAATGTCAAGGTCGGAAGGTCGAGATCTTGTCTAGAGGGAGTGGACTGAGGACTTGAATTGGAGAAGGTTGTAGGCTTAGGAAGGACGATGATTGTTGATGATATGAAAGAGGAATGTACCTAGGAAATATTGTCTTCGAATGGAGGGGAAGAGCCACTCTAACTCAGTGTAGTGGTGAGAGACATGGTAGTATCTCGGGGCACCAATTACAAATCTCACGCAACTGTTCATTAATCTTTTATATATATATATATATATATATGTTTCAAGTGATGTTACTGCTTGCTTCTTGGGAAATCCCAGCCTTTTTCTTCTTGTTATTATTCAGACAATGTATCAACTAATACCAGGTGAAAAAATATTCTTCATCTCTAGCGATACAGTTTTGCCATCTCAATGATAATTTATAAATGCCATGCCAGAAAAAATTTTGCTTTTATGTGACAAACCAATAATCAAGCCATTTTCATAAAATGTGAAGCGCTGCTGAGCAAGTGTGTGTAAATTCAATGTAATTCCCTTCATGTAATTGATAAGTAACATGTTTCTTCAATGTAATATGTCAGTTGTCTGTAAATTAATAGTATTTGGAGAAAGCCAGGTTTGACATGTTAGCTGCATATACTAATATTTCCCAACTGAACACTTCAATTGTTTTTTTTTATCTGGTTGCGCTGTGTGTGATAGATTCATTATGATGAAGCAAAACTACTTTTTGTTGTCTTATTCTGGTCATTTACATGTAATACACAATTCTATTCTATCACTTTTTGTCAATATAATTCAGTATTTACGTTTTCACTAGCTCATAATAGAACTGATGCATTGTTATGAATCTTTACAAGTTAAAAGTCTTTGCCAGCGGTCTAAGAAACAAAATAACACCAATATTTTGCCTTGACAGAAACTACATCAACCATCTATGGACAAATTCTGGTTTCATTCTTATACACCTGGTGCTTGGAATGAGCAATATAATGAATTTCAGGTGAGAATGTTGTTCCACTTGTTTTTGTATCCCGATATAGTTTTCTCAACTGAGCTATGAGTAAGTATGAATTTTTAAGAAAATAGTCGTCTTAAAACTCGTTCATCTTTTAAATACTCTAACTTTTTCTTTAAATACCAGTATTGATATGTTAAGGCAATAGATATTTTTTAAAACTATCATAATTTCAAAAAGTTCAGCTTTTAACCATTTTATTTCTTTTTACTTTTACATTTTTTCCTTCTTCCCCTCCTCTCACCCTGTGAGACCAGTGTTAATATTTTTATTGCTTAATTGTCACTTCAAAATAATTTAAGTAGGAGTATCAATATTTATTATATATTATTGGTGTTTTAACTTCTTCAATCATTTGGTACAATTTCCATTGCATATGTTTGAATTTAGTACTGAAGTTTGAATTTAGGCATGGTATTTATGATTTGCTCTTCTAATTCCAAGTGCACTGGTATACAATTAATTAGGAGCTTCATTTGTAGTAGTCCTCACAGTAGGTCTCTTGATCAATATTCTGATTGCCTAATCTTCTAGAATTATGTTTGGGATATACTAAGATATCTGCCTTATGCCACCATACATTGTATTTTATAACGATAAAGACAGAGGATCAGTGGTTTATAACCAGTACACAGGCGGATCTACAGGGGGTTTTCGGGCTGAAGCCTCCTCTCCCCCCAAAATGGTAAAATGTAACCATGTTTTATGGTAAAAAAATATTTAAAAAATATCTCATAAAGTATTATTGTTCGTGTAATTAAATTTAATAGGACTTCAAAAATCACATAAACACCATTTCATATATGTAGATAGTATCTTTCTTTTTTTTTTTTAGAGTAGTTATCGTTATATATATATATATATATATATATATGAAAAAAAAACCTTTCGGGCTGAAGCCTCCCCAAAATGAAATCCTGGATCCACTAGTGAACCAGTATACCAACAGTCAACTATTGGCTTACCAACAATACTTAATTGACATTTCAGCCTAAGCTCCATAGGTATCCTAATATGTTTAATTTATACAGAAAGATTAGTTTGAAGCCCATTTAGGATAAGTAGTCTCATTGATAGTAATTGATCTTATTTAAAGAATATTTTCTTAAAAATGCATGTAGATCATTTTTGCCAGTTTTCAAGATATATAATATCAAGAAAATCAAGCAGAAAAATTGTGATCTTCCTAACAGCCCATTCCAGGTTTTGGAATGTAGTATATTTGATACATATTCTCCAACTTTTGGACTGTGACTGTCAGCCTTCATCTTTAAAGTTCTCAGAGTTTTAATTACTGATAAGCTTTTTAGAACAGTTCTAAAGCTCAATCATTGTTAGTTGGAATCCTGATGGCAAACTGATGGGATACGTTACTTAAAACATATTTGCAAATATCTAAATATATTGTAAGAATCGGGGGAACCCAGAAGGGGGTTCCATGTGCCATCAAAATTTTTGAGGGGTCACATTTTGACGGGGTTTTAAATTTTTGAGAGGGACACTTTTCGAGGATGTTATGAATTTTCGAAATGAATAGTTTCAAACCAGGTGACATGAGGAAAGCATAGAATAGACCAGTGAAACTGTAATTTATATGACTTATGATTTCTAAAATTATACTTTAGCTTGCACTATTATTAAAAAGAGGATAGCAATAAAATATTTTGGAAGAAGGGGGGGAGTTCATGCGCAATTGACCTTGGGGGGGGAATGGGCACCCCTTGTAAGAATACATTATATTTTAATAAATGTATATATTTGTAAATAATATCAGAGGTAAAAAAACATAAAGAAAATTTAGCTTCTACTTTTTGTATGAGTTTGCACTTGGGATGGCAAACAACCATAATCAAACTATAGAAAAATACTACTAGTGCTAGCTGGCTTACATGGAGAAAGAGAATTATTATATGAATTCTTGCTGATTAAGAATTTTCTGCAGAAATACAGTGGTCACTCAAGGACCATGCATAACAAATCTTTTTGTAAACCAGAATAAACATTTTTCTGTTTATTATACAAAAAAAAAAAAAATGATAAAAAAATAAAACAAAATGAAAAAAGTATTAGTACTTCAAAGAAAAAATTTAGATTATAAAATTATTTTATATTAATTTATTTTTATACAATGCTAGGTCATTTCTTTTAACTACCAAAAGTTAAATACATATATAAACATAATAATGACATCTTTATTGATTTTGTTAACTAAACATGAAACAAAAATAAATATACAACATAAGTTTATTAGTTCACTCAATGTTTCATTTAAATTTTTGAACAATAAAGAAAAAAAGTGAATGAAAGTCATTATCGTGTAATCATTGATTATTAGCTCTGAACTATTATATGAATAATCTTGCCTTTTTAATGAATAGTTTTTTTTATTGTTTTCTTAATTTATTATTTTAAGAGTAAATGAAGGTCATTATAATTATAAATTATACCAGGCTGGTATATTGTACAAACTATAACATTCCAGTTTTGTTTTTTTCTCGTTGATTCAGTGTTCCGTCGAGAATGTTTAATATGCCAATTGATAGAGGTATATATCATAATTTTTCTTATTTTTTGCATACCATTAAATCTATGGATAAAAAGAAACAGAGTGCTTATTAGTTTTAATTATATTGAAATTAAACAAATGATTAAAAAATAAATCAGTTTTACAGCTAAAATCTTTTATAACTTAATTGTGAATCGATGTTATGTTATTTTTGAATCGTTATAATAGACTTGTATATTAATCATTAATAAAAGAAGGTAATGTATTATAAATGTTAAAACAAAACTGTCATAGACGGTAAAATGATTGTCAGAAAAAGTACAAATGACAACAGTGGTTTTTATGCTGGAGTATTTGGAGTTGATTTCATATGAATTTGGTGCCCTGAATTTATTTCTGTCTAAGAGATCTATATGACATTTCAGTTAAATTTTTATGATACTACCTTAGTAACAATCCATAGATCAAATTAAAAACATGAGTTCAGAACTAATTATAATATTTTTAGGATAGTAGATTCTTTTCGCTTATAATATATAAGGTAAGTTTGGTTCCTGATAACAGTAAATGTTTTTCATTCAACCAAGATGAAAGTAATATAGAAGCTTGTTTCAACAGGTTGAATTCTCATGTGAGCTTATTTAATTTATCTTGGATGAAACATTGAATTTATGATGTTCCCTCATAACTACTGTCACATTCATGTGTAGAAGAGTGATCAAAGTGACAATACTTGTGCTCACAGAGCACTATAATCGGGATAAACTGTAGTATTGACGACATTTCCTCATTGTGAGAGACGAGGCCTCATGCAGAGTCAAAATCAGGATAAGTCTTTATGTGTTTATGTGTGGATAAGTGTTTCAAATGATTCCATTAATACTTAGTAGACATAAATAACATTATCCATAATGGTTTTTGGTTCCCTATGAATTTAAGACTCTTCTTTCTCCTAATAGTCCAATGTTGTAAATATCCTTTACAAATTTTAAAAAACAGATATGATTGGCCAGATTTTATTGTGAATGACAAGCTTAACTCCAAAATATTGAAGATAAGGTCTGTTTAACAAGTCGTTTACAGCTTTTCTGACTTTTTTTTATAATGTTTGTTTCCTGCAAAAGTAATAAACCATATCAGGATGATTAAATAAGTTATTTTATGGAACTCAACTACACATATACAACATTTACTTATATATAACCCTCTCATGTTGGTTAGTGTTACAAATACAACAATCTACAGCTCTAGATTTTTAGGCTTAGCTTTATAGCAATTCATTCCTAAACAGAATGAGTAAAGTAGTTCAGTGAATAGAGCACTGACTCCCAAAGTTTAATAAGGTACTTGGCTCAAATCTGGTTGATGACAGATAATTATTTATTCTAATTTGTGGGTTGTGGATTAATCTTGGGATCTTAGAGACAGAGAACCTCCTGAAGCACACCCAGCTTCTTTAAAGTGGGTACTCTTAATTAATTAATTAAAACTTTGTGCTTAAGCGTGATCTCGGTCAAATCATCTCATTACACAACCATCCATCAAGAAACAGTACAGAATCCAAGACCTTTCATGGGTTGTTGTTGTAGTGAATTTTTTTTTCTTATACAAAAATATCATGCAATGCCCATTTAGATCTCCACTATACAAAGAGAACTAACAATATAATCTCAAATCTAATTGAAATCTTAAAAATAATTACAGTGACTGGTAATACTTATTTTCACTTGCAGATTTTTCTGGATGGCAGATGGTTAATAAGTAGGATTAAGTTACCTATTCTCGAATTTATTGAATAAGATAAACATCGATCAACTGATAAAGAAAAATTTATTTAATATTAAAATACCAAAAAATAAATTCATTGTATGTCGTGTTATTGTTTTGGAATTTTTATAAGCAAAAAAATCAATGCAATACTCATCCTTTACCTTGTGAAATAACAATTAAATAATTTTAGTAAGATTACCAAAAAGTAAACTATTATATATTGCAACTATAATGGTTAAAAGTCAATATTTTTAATCCAATTATCAATAGTCTTATCTCGATTCAGGAAAAACATAAGAATTCATAGAGTTGGTGGTATTTCATTTAGAATTAGTAGCGGCTTTAATTCTGAGGAGAGAATAACTGTGTTTTATTTTTATTTTTTTTCTATTGAAGTTAATCATATAAACAATAATCATTTTGAGGATAAAAGTAAATTATTTTTTCTTGACAAAAACTTACATTTAGTAGCTAAAATAAATGTATGCTAATTTAAAAAAAAAAAATAGTGTGCTTGTTTGAATATTCTGCTCAGATAACTCATAGAAACATATTTGGACCAATGAAAATAATCTATTCATTTTTTTGGGGAGAGGAGGGAGGATTCAGCCCAAAATCCCTCCTTGAATCCACTAGAATAGAATATGACTCTAAGATTCAAAAAGTTCTAATGAGTATAAGTCTTTATCACAAGGTATATAGGACCAGAGGTGTCCAGAAAGGGATTTTATGGTGCAAGTTGCACCATCAAACTTTTTAGGGGGGCATATTTTGACGGGTTTTTGAATTTTTGAGAGGGACAAAAACAAAACATGGAACAGATCGCAACAAGTGTAATTGTGTATGGTCTACGATTTTTCTAATTCTATTTTCCCTTACTCTGTTTTTATGAAAAGATGAGCAATAAAATATCTTGGGAGAGGGGTGAGGGGTAGGTTCTTGCGCCATCGACCTTGGAGGGGATGGGCACCCCCTTTATAGGACTTAAGACTACATTAGCAATCTGTGGGTTTTTATTTTATTAACTGTTACTGGCAGTTATTTATAATAGACTTAGACTCATAGCACATATTGGTCTTATAAACTGAGACTTAAAGATGAGTCATATAAATATATCCTGGTATTATAGAATATATCATATTCACGATTTGAAGAAGTATCCTAGGACCTGAAGTAGAGTTCAGGTCTTTCGGTACTCTCTTGACTATTTCCAAAGTATGAATTCACAATTCCAATCATTTCCACTATTTCTAGATTCATAGTAATTTAAAAGAATTCTGTAATGCTTCTTTTCTAAGAAGAATGTGTAATAGTGTAAGATCGTGAAGCAATAAAATTGGATAGAGTGTTATTTTAACAACTATCAGATTGGTCTGAATTTCGACAGATCACTGCTTCCTTCTTCAGCATTCTAGTGTTTTATAGCTTGAAGTAAATGTAATAGTTCAGAAGATGACAACATCTATATACTTTGGAAGAATAAATGTCAAAAACTACACTACAAAGATTGAAAACTGGACCACCACATGTTTAGGATGAACAAATAACCCAAAATAATAAGATTACCACAAATCAGAGAAAAATATGAAGAGTAAATATTATTGCTGAAACAGTGCTATTTCTATCATAAATGAATGGCAATGTATTTGATAGAAAGTATTATTTATATTCTTAGTTCCAGTTGCTGTTAGAAAATCATAAATAGCTGGATTTTGCCAGAATTTATCAGTTATTAATGGAAGTGCAAAGGTATATTTATATTTAATAATTATTTCCTGATAGATCTTCAAGAGACTATCAAACCGCTAATTACCCTCCTCACTTGACTCCTTTCTGATATCCCGTTCAACTTCCCTCGATGAATACAAAGCCCCTAGCTATCCTTTTATGGAATGCTAATGGGCTACTTAACCACCGAGATGAACTAGACTTATTACTCCATGACAATCACATTGACATTGCCCTTCGGACGGAAACTCACTTCACTTAGCGGACACATTTCTACATACATGACTACATCACTTATAGATCTGACCACCCAGATAACATATCCCATGCTGATTCCTGCATCCTTATCCATAAATCTTTATCTCACTCCTTATTATTCCTTCTTATTCTTTATTATTACTTATTCCTTCCACTCCAACTGATGCCATTCAATCAACTTCTGTAGTCCTTTCAACTGGCACTTTCCATCTCACATTCTCAGCTGTATACTGTCCTCTTGGTAATTCCATCTCCTATAACTTCCTTGAATCCTTATTCCAATCCCTCGGATCGCCCTTTATTGCTGGAGGAGACTACAATGTTAAACACCAAAAAAAAATTCTGCTAAAGACAAAAGAAGACATTAATAGTGCCATAGAAAAATTTACAACATCAATAACAGACAGTATAAATAGTAACACCTTTAACAGTAAGATTAACAATTTACAAAAGACTAACTTGCCACAGCATATTCGTATCTTATAAAAAGAAAAACGCAAAAGAGCAAGATCGAAGTGCCATAGAACTAGATATCCAACAGATAAAACTCATTACACCCAACTGACTAACAAACTAAAATCAGAAATTAGAAAATACAAAATTTACTAAATTTTACTGAAAAACTTACAATTGCCGGCAAATCACTGTGGACGACAACTAAAAGGCTCCTTAAATTTAAAGGCTTTAATCATCCACTTCTTACTGAAGCTCAAACTTGGTCCAAATCTGACGAAGAAAAATCCCAAATTTTTGCACATCACCTCTTGAAAACCTTTAATTCACATCCTGATGTCCTTAATCTAAATCAGCATGGATGTATTGAAGCAGAACTGGATATTCCACTCCAAATGACTCCTCCTCCTAAAGCATTTCATCCCTCAGAAATATTCAATATTATTCACATATTAACCTCCTGCAAAGCCCCTGGTCACAACCTAATCACATCCCATATCCTTAAACTACTTCCTCGAAAAGCCATTCTATTCCTTACTTACATATATAATGCTGTACTCCATTTCACATATTTTCCTGACTCTTGGAAACTATCTGTAGTTAAAATGATACATAAACCCAAAAAGCCACCAGAATACCCATCCTCTTACCGTCCTATCTCTCTTTATCCATCATGGGCAAAATCCTGGAAAAGCTCATCTTAAAACGCCTGTATCCCATCCTAGATTCTAACCACATAATCCCTGATCACCAATTTGGATTCCGCACATCTCATTCCACTATCCAGCAATGTCATCGTGTGGTAGACATTGTCTCCTCTGCATTGGAGCGCGGAATGTATTGCATTGGAGTCTTTCTCTACGTTAAACAGGCGTTTGTTCGAGTCTAGCACCCGGGATTGCTTTACATACTCCGTAAATTCCTTCCTCCTACATATTTTCTTATCATCAGTTCCTACCTTACTGATAGACACTTCAAAGTAAATCACAATAATACCTATTCATCCCTCTTTTCTCAATCTGCCGATGTTCCTCAAGGTAGTATCCTTGGTCCTATCCTTTACACAGTTTATACAGTTCATCACTACATATGCTGATGACACATGTATCCTATCAGTTAATAACGAACCATCAATTGCGTCCCAAACTCTTCAACACACAACACAAACCTTGAAGAATGATGTCAAAACGGGAGGATTAAAATAAATTATAATAAATCCCATCAAATCACCTTTACCCTTCGTCATAAACCAATGACTTGCTATCCTACAGTATCCTTTAATAACACCCCACTTATCCCTGTAGAACAAATCCGATACCTAGGACTCCACCTGGATAAACGTCTCACTTTGAATCCTCATACAAGATTGAAACGACAAGAAACTGCTCAATGTTTCCGCTTACTCCAACACTTACTGGACAAACGCTCTAAACTTTCAATTAATTACAAATGACTCATATACATGACTATAATAAGACCTATTTGGACTTATGGAGTTGAGCTAAGGGGCTCCACTATACCATCAAATTCCTCTTGTATCCATTCCTTACAATCCAAAATCCTTCATAAAATCCTCAATGCTCCTTACTTTGCCACAAATAAAATAATCCATAAAGACCTTAATGTTCCATATGTTTCCGATTTGGTCCAATCCAGATACTTATCCTTCTATAATAAACTTCATAACCATCCAAATCCTCTTGTTTCTAACCTTGATTCCTCTTCGATTCCTGATAACTCTCAGAGGCATCTGAAAAGAAGATGGCCTCGTGATATCCTCATGTAGATATATTATTAGAGTACTACCAATGGATTTCTCAACAAGCATTTTCATGTGATTATATTCCTCTGTACACATTTACTAGATGTATTTATACTTGTACAGTTGTAAATATCATAATAAAAATTTTAAAAAAAATTATAAATCACAAATTTGAAAAAATAGGCTATCAGTTAATTTCGAAGGGTGAGGGCACCTAGTAAAATTTCACCGTGAGTCCAAACGACAGGCCTGGTTAACAAAGTATTTCTTGAATATTTAATGGGGAATAACATTGCCTAGATAATCATACATAATTATTGTACCATTTTTGGTATGAATGTGAGAAGTTTCCTATTAGTGAAGCATAGAAGGAAGATAAGAAAATTACCTATCTTGTCTTTTGATATTTGTCAGTATCTTTTTAAATTTTTTTTATAAATAACTATTTTTATAAAATTATAAATTTGTTTCATAAATAACTATTTTTATAAAATTATAATTTCATAAATAATTTATATAATAATAACTTTCTATTAACAGAATATTGTGAGTTAAAGAGCTGGAGCAGCCTACAAGATTCACTGCTTGAACAGTAAGTTTTATTTTAACATTTGGTGACATAAATTTAAAAGCATATTTTGCATTAACACTACTAATAATGATGATAAAAAGTAATTGATAGGATTAAGTACAACTTGAATTCTCAATACTCTTCTATCGAAGACCTAGTTTTGTAGACCAACAATCGCTTTGAATTTCATGTTTCTGTTTTTAATATTTCTTTTTCACTCATAACTGTCAGAAATACTATTAACCAGTGAATTTGGTGTCAATAAATTGAATTTTAAGACTATGATAAGTGTGAAGAAGAGAAGTGTCCAGCACTATCCCATCCTATCTTGATTTTACTATTTATAATTTAGTAAGATCCTTCATTCAACTTCTATGTAGCTTCTAATGGGTATTGTCGAGTATGTTGGTTGTGACCATGCCTTGAATGAGTGAGTCTTTACATCCATGTTAGTTATGGTGAAATTTTTTGTAGTGTTTCCATGTGTGGTCTTTAATTAATAATAATAATAATCTTTTATTTATTCTGGAACAAATCCCTTTAGAATAATTAACAAGGACAGAAATGTGGGCTTCTGAGCCTCAGATATATGTAAATGTATTCACAAAGTAAAGTAATAGATATAATATAAAGAAAAAAAAAGTTATCTTCTAAAATAAATTGATTAAGAAAAAAAATGAAAGAACAATTAAATGAAAATAAACTAATAATATATATATACATATTTACAGAAGTTTCTATTTACAATTTTATCGGGACTGGATGGAAAGGAAGTGATTGAATAGGCGGGATTTAAAAGTAGGGAGAGTATTGGAGTGACGGATGTCAAGAGAGATGGAGTTTCACAGGGATGAGGATCGAATAATAAAAGATTTATCAAAAGCAGCAGTCCGGTGGGTCATTATATATAAATCTAAAGACCGGGAATGGGTATTGCGGGAGTGGACAGAGGATTAAAATTGAAGGAGCTCGGAGATGTATGAGGGACGGCGGGATTGGATGACTTGGAAGAAGAAGGATGCCAGGAAATACTTACGGCAGAAGGAAGGATAAGGGAACTTCAACTCTTCATAAAAACGCGAAACAGAGGCGTCGCTTGGGTTCCCAAAGATGAATCACAAAGCAATTTATCAAATATTTTAATTTCACTTCAAGATCCTCAGAGACGCCTCCATATACCGTGCAGCAAAGTGGAAAATATTAAGAAGGTGACCAGGTGTCTATGGGTTTCAAAAGGAAAAAGGTGACGGAGGCTATTTAAATGTTTTAGGGTGGAAAAGGTGCGTTGGGAGATATTAGATACATGGTTTTCCAGGAAAGGGTTTGATCAAAGATTATTCCAAGGTTTTTGATGGTGGGATAAAATTTGATGAGACCATCTTGAAGGAATGGGGTTGGAATGTTAGGAACAGTTTTAAGGAGTTGATTGGAGCCTATTAGGATTGCCTTTATCTTTTCCGCATTCAACGTCAGCTTGTTAGCTCTTGCCCAGTCATATATTCTATTTAAGTCTTCTTGAAACTTTTTTGTTGAGGCTAATAGGTCAGAAGGGGAGAAGAACACGTATATTTGTAAATTGTCAGCATAGATGTGGTATGCATCAGATGCACAAGATGTGATGGATCAGGAGAGGAAGGTCATTAATGTAAATAGCAAACAGAATTATGGGCGGGATGGCTGAACGGGCTAACATGTGTGCACAGCACTACCGTTGCCCAGCAACCTGATCTATGAGACAATGGATTTAAAATAGTCATGAGTTCGCATCCCGGTGCCGGAGGAGTCTTTTAAATTCCCACCCACACCCCCTGGCTGGGGAAAACCCCGTATAGCCTTAAAGGCGAGGAAGGGGAGAACACAACAAAAAAACAATAGCAAACAGAATAGGAGATAAGGAGGAATCCTGAGGAACACCAAAGGAGAGGGGAAGTGCTTTTGAAGGTTGTGGGCGGGGTGGCCGAATGGGCTAAAGCGCGTGCACTGCAGTGCCGTTGCCCTGCAACCTGATCTATGAATCAAAGATATAAAAATAGTCACGAGTTCGCGTCCCGGTGCCGGGGGAGTCTTTTAAATCCCCGCCCACACTCCCTGGCCCGGAAAAATCCCATATAGCCTTAACGGCGAGGAAGGGGAGGACCAAAAAAAAGTGTTTTTGAAGGAGGTTGATCAACAACTACATACTTACCGATGGGATTGATCGGAAAAGGAAGGATTTGAACCAAAGCAGGACACTGTTGGATAGAGGAAGATTTTGCAATTTAGTAAGAAGGGTGTTATGGTCAACTATATCAAACGCTTTGGAAAAATCTAGAAGGATGAGTAAGGTTTTGGTGTTCAATGGAATTTTGGAAGTTCAATTTTTAAGTTAATATTTTAAGGAGGGCAGATTGCGTTGAATAATCAGGTCGAAAGCAAGATTGGAATGGATTGATGAGGGAACGTTCTTCTAGGAAGTTGGAACGTTGATTTTGGACAAGGCATTCCAGCAGTTTTGAGAGGTTGGCAAGGAGAGAAATAGGACAGAAGTCGTTCAGTGAGGAAGGGTTAGAAGTTTTATTCAAAGAGTGCAGTTTTCCAGGAAGAGTGCAATATGGAATTTTGCAATGAAAATTTGTAGATATGGTAAAGTATGGGAATAGGAGTAGGAATGCTGGATTTTATTAGTTTTACTGGAATATTGTCAGGACCATAATCAGTGGTGTGGGATTTTAGGATAGTGGAGAGTACTTCATCTTAGGACACATGGGAAAAAAAGAAGTTTTCAGGATTGAAATTATGGTGTTCAATATCATATGTAGGAGAAGGATTAGAAGCAAAAGAAATGGTCATTAAGATCATCTGGAGTCACAAATGAGGTTATTGGATTCTTTTAGGTAGAGATAGATTACGAAGTTTTTTCCATTTTGATTTGGAATCGGGAGCATTGGAATGGTCATTATGAAAGTAGTTGGATTTAGCAAGTCGGATTGTGGATTGGGTTCCATTACAAAGTTGTTTGAAAGACGCATTATCAGTAGGTAAACGGGTTTGGCATTATTTGAAGGAAAGAGTTATTGGGTAGAGATATTTGAAAGGATCGGATAAAGGATTTTAGCCAGGTTTCAGATAAAGCTATTACGTGATAAAAAGTATCTAGGAAATATTTCTGGAATTCATCAAAGTGGACATTAAGGGATTGTACATTGACATGACAGAAGTTTAGGATATTAGTCATAAATGAGATGTTGGGAAGCGGAGTTGCAGGGAAGAGGATCGAGGAAGGAGAGTAGGATATAACAGTTTTTTTAACAAAAAATTCATTTCTGCAACAACAAAAGAAATACAAACATAAAATAAACTTTGCAAAGAAAGAGTTAAAATCATGTAGACTCAAATAAAAATAAATATAAAGAATTGATTTATGATATAAAAAAATATTAAGACTGGTTTGATTACAATAAATCATTAAAAAAGAACATTTAGTTAAATGAAATTCCAGCTCTTTAGAAAGAAAATGAAGAAAGAAAATCACAAAAATTAAAATAAAATTATTTTTGATGGGAAAGAATAAAATTAATACAAATTTTGGCAGACTTACATACGAAATTCAAATAAGAATAAAAGTTTTTATGCCAAAATCTTTGCAAAAATTAATGTTGCAGACATAATAGGGAGCATTGGATATAGACCTGAAAGTTTTTAACTAATGGTATGATTGATTATGAATGAATTTATTTAAAGACATTACGATAAACAATTTTTGACCAACATAAAATGTACTCATCATTTGTTCTGAAGGGACTGATTTCACTGAATAATAAAAACAATTTTTCATTTCATACTGTTCAGAAAATGACTCTTTATGATGAAGGGAGACTGTGCCCTTATTTGGTTTGTCGATCATTGAAATATATGAGCTTGAATTCATATCACAACTGCTTCTATCAATAACGCCACATTTCAGAAATCACCATTTCTTAGTTATGCCTGTTTTTAGAATCCTTGAAAGCATTGTATATTCTACGAGATTTTATACCTTTAACTCAAAACTTATTTGCTAGGTACTAAAAGTGTTTTTATGTTATAAAATATTTCACATATTATAATTATTTCATATTTATGTTTAGAAAATTTTATTGATTTTAAACATTGAAATGTCTAAACCCCTTGAAAAATCATTATTTTTCAGATATGACATTATTGAAAAGAGTGAGTACATGCATAAACATTCACCAGTCAAACACATAAATATGACCATCAATCAAACAAAACATAAAAATGGTAATTGTTACTTACCAAGAAAAAAAAAAATTATTAAACATAAATTCAATTGAATTATAAAAAAAATCAGACTTGCATAAATAAACACAAAGACGTCTAATTTATGATTAATTCTAAAAAAAAACAAAAAAAAAAACATGAAGTGACTAGGCTAATATTAGCAACAATTACTTGTTGACCAGGAACAACTATTCTACAATATTTGTAACACTTTCTAAATACACAGTTCTTGAAACGAATTAGTATAGATTATATTTTTATCTTTGTATAATAGAATATAAAAAAACATTCTTACCTATTAATACCTTTCAAATTGTAATTGTTTGTCATTTTGCTTAGGATAGCCTCTAGTAAAAGAGATGCTTCTAAGAAAAAATTGAGAGGACAAATGGAAATATTCTCAATACCTGAATATTTAAAGAAAGTTTATGAAATTGACACAGAACATGAAAAAAGGTATGCCAAATCACTGATGTTCAAATTAAAATGGTCCAAATTAATTTATAAATCTTTAATGATTATTTTATTAAAGATTTATTAATTATTTTATTTATATTTTTGCAGTTCTAAGTGAAACTCCTAGCTTTAATAATTATATTTGAAAAAAAGAGAAAATAAGTATTAATAAACAATTTGTAGGAATGTCTTGTTGTAGAAATATCTCTAATTTTCAAAAGAGCATAATATGTAAAAAAACATAATTTTTCAGATAGCTAAAAAAAATTTGGTTAATATTTGATTTCATAAAATTTATTTATATCTTTTTTTATATATTTGGTTGTTTGATGGATATTAGTGTTAGTTTAACTGTTTTACATAAACATGTTTGGCAGATTGAAGCAAAATAAAAAATGGCAAGTTCTTCAAAAAAAGAAGCCAGCAGTACACATAAATATTAGTGATGACACTGAAAATAGTAAGTCATTTTTAAACTAATTTTTGTTTTAAATATATATTTTATAGTTTTAATAAAATAAAGATCAATTTATCACATATCAAATTTTGTTATTAAAATTTTTATAGTTTTTTAATAATCAAATATTATTGCTTGTAATTATATCTTGTACATTAATAATTATATTACTAATATATTTCATTGAAATATCCATAACACTTTTTTTTGTTGGGTGTTTTAGGAATAACAAAAAATGTTTTAACTGAAAAAATTAAATTAAACACAGGATTAGAAAAGAAATGCATAGCTAAAGAACATGTTTCCAAAAGTTTGGATAAGAAAATAGCGGCAAAATTTAAAAAAAATGTAATAAACCCGCAAAATCAACATTTCCAAATAGCTACTCCAACTAAAAACATACATTCTTCACCTTCAAACAATGGTTTTCTGATCACAAAGCTCTCATCTTCCACAACATTAATTAAAAAATTACCTACTACTGAAAAAACCCTGAGCAAGCTCCAGCTATCATTCCCAGAACCAACAACATTACCTGCCTCTTCTACCCTCTCTGTTTCACCAATAGCCTCGAGGAATAAAAAAGAAATTTCAAGTGAAATACCTCACCTTGGTAGGTTAAATAATTCTTCTGAAATTACACCTGGTACATCTGAGACAGTAATGAATTCCTCTCCAGTTTCTTTATCTGAGGTTCCTCAAAGTTATTCCAAACTTTCTTTCAATGCTTGGAAGACATCAAAGCCCATCAGACAATATGGTTCTTCATCAAAAAATTCAAGAAAATCTGTTGAATCTGCCCCATCTCAATGGTCAATTGAGAATATTACACTTTCAATGAACTCATCTGTCACTTCCACAGGTAAGTGATCCTTATACTTGCAATTACAATATTTTCCTATGACTCTAAAGATTTCAATTGGGAGATGCTGGAAATACTTATTTTCAACACTTCATTATTTTTTTAAATTGATAAATTGTTAATCTCCAAAAAATTATCCAAGTCTAATAATCCACTTTACATTGCCCATTTACATTAGCTACTTTAGTTACCCAAAATAACTTTTAACATTCAACAAATATCTTCAAAATTACAGCCGTTTTCAAAGAGGTATAGAATTTTAATTTTAATTTCTAAATAAAATGAATTTGCTTTTTTTTTTATATTGTCTTAGAGAAAGTTTTATAATTTAATTAGGGACCTTATCTATTTTACATTGCTCACGTACAGGCATTAGCTACTTTAGCTGCTAAAACTAATTTTCAACATTAAAAAAAAATATCTCAAGAACTATAGGCGTTTTCAAAGGGGTGTAAAATTTTAATTTTCATAGGATTATATTGAGTTCATTGGATAAGATATTAAAATACTGATTGAATTTGAATAAATATTAAAGATTATGGGATATTAAAGGGTACCAAGGATCAAAAGAGTATTATTATGTTACATTTATAAACAAAATGCAGTTTATCTAATTTTTAAATAATTTGTTGACACTAAAACACTCAAATTCCATTATTCCTTTAATAATATTTTTTACATTATGAATATTTTAAAAAATGCCACTTATAAAAACTTTCTTATTGGATTTATAATTACATATGACTCTTTTATGCCAAAATGCAGAAAAAGCAGAGTTCTGTTCTTCAGAAACAATGATGACTGAAACCTTTTCTCCTTTGCTGACTATACCATCATTCCATAATGAATGGACTGAACCTGAAATATATTACACACCTAAACTAATCGGTAAGTATTTTTATTACCATGAGTTTGATCACGATGAATTAAAACGAAAAAAACTTAAGCTTTCAGATATAATTTATATATAATTTAGAATATTCCTAACAGAAAATGTTTTTATATATTTTTGTATTGTTCCATGAGATGTGACAAAAAGTTATGACTGCTCTTCACCAGATTTGCTAAATCCTTTTCATTCTATTCAACTAGATGAGCCTACCACATACTTCTCATCCCACTTTACAGGTAAGAAATATCAATTTTACCAATAATTCTTTATCAGTTTTTTAAAATTATATACATATATATATATATATATATATGTTTTCGGTTCTGTTCTTCCTGCCTTCTGAAGTATTACCAGCCACAAACAAAGATTTAAAAAGAGTTAAATAGAACTTGTGACTGGGAGGAGCTAACAAGTTGAAGTTGAATGCGGAGAAGACGAAGGCAATCTTAATAGGCTCCAATCACCTCCTTAAAACTGTTCCTAATATTCTGCCTCTACATGATAATTCCATCAAATTTTATCCCACCATCAAAAGTATGGTATAGTGTGGCATCCCTGTGGATCTTGAAGTGAAAGTAAAATATTTGATAAATTGCTTTGTGATTCATCTTTGGGATCCCAAGAGACGCCTCTGTTTCGTGTTTTTATGAAGAGTTGAAGTTCCTTTATCCTTCCTAGCATCATAAGTATTTCCTGGCATCCTTCTTCTTCCAAGTCATCCAATCCCGCCGTCCCTCATACATATCCGAGCTCCTTCAATTCAAATCCTCTGTTCACTCCCGCAATACCTGTTCTCAGCCACGTATTTACAAACTCTATACGGATTCAGACACTCTGTCTGTTCTCGTCTAGGTTTTGTAGTGACCCTTTGGGCTGGCCCATTACAAGCCCTATACCGATTCGGACACCTCAGCTCTGCTTGCTCTCTGGGAAACTTTAGTCGTTTAAAATTATATTAAATATATATATATATATATATATATATATATATATATATTAATTATTAATGTTGATACTTGTATATATATATATATATATATATATATATATATATATATATAAACAAAATTATTAATTTTGTTCTAATTAATATTTTACTGATAAAAAATACAGCCAAAGGCAAGAGGAGTAAATGCTAAGTGTAAATATTTTTTTAAAAAATAATAAAATGATAAGGCCTAAGATTATAATAAAATAAATTATGAACTACAAAAATAAATAAGAAAATAATAATGAGCACTTTTTGTTTAAAATATTGCAAATATTGAATGACACTAATTGAATAATGTTATTCTAAGAAAAACAAAAATAGATAAAGATTGCCGTACAATATTATATGTAATATAAACAAAAAAATTAATTTTTTTTCTGACATACAATACTGTCAAAAAGATAAGAGAAATAAATGCTAAGTATGAATCATTAAAAAAATTAATAATTTGTGTACTTTAAATAGCAATAATTATAAAAAATAATATTTTTATTTGTTAATATATTATAACAACAATGAATATCGAGGTGATTCTAGACAGAATTTTCACCAAGAAAAATCTTTTGATGTATAAGTGATAATACAAACATTTTGTTAATTCAGGTGATTAAAATTTGCTTTATAGTAAGCTAGACACAATTTCGTTCAAATACAAATACAGTTTGTCTTTGTTAAAACCATTAAAAGTATACTTTTGAGCGGCCAAAATATGCTAAGTTGCATTTTTCATTAAATCATGGATAATTTGTGATGTTTTTTACTTTCCTACCTATATTAGGTAAGGAAAGTATTGCAATCGGGTCAACTTTCCGACATGGGGTTTTCGACAGATCTATACGTTTCAGAGCCACCTGAGTCCGAAAAACACATTTTTAGCCATTGGTCTGTCTGTCTGTGCCAAGATTTTCTCGGGAACTACTGAACTGATTTTGTTGCTTCTTTTTTTTATTTTGTAGGGTTTTGACTACTGATGCCTGTGACAGAAATTCAGTGCTCCATGCGCAATTGCTTGTGCTCAATAAATGAAAATTCCTTACAAAGTCATATAAAAATCGTTCATTTTGGACAACTATTAACAAAGTTATAACTATTCAATTTCCAATGTAAGATTACAGTTTCATATCCTGGTGTCAGAAAGGGGTGAATGAGAGAATAAAGATGACTAAGTGATAGTAAGAAAATCTGTTGCCCGCATCACACAATCTTCACTATTTCCTCTACTTTTAACAGAAATTATTGCTTGACAATACTAAGCTATACCAAAAAGTTTTTTATCAGCAATATTAGGAAGTATTGAAATTTTTGCACTGATCTACCTTAAGTCGGTTTGCATTGCTTTAGTTTATCAAATAAATCGTACTCAAATCTTATGTTTGATCAATTTTCAGGAAAATGTATCTAGTTCAATTCTTTTTTGTTTCATTATGAACATATGTAAAGATATAAAAACTTTTCTGAAATAGGTAGGAAAGTTGTGTGAGTGGACACACCAGATATTTTTATCATGCTACAGATACCCCACTTTTATAAAAACTTCCTTGTTTAATTAGCTTTAATTGCATATCAATTTAGTTGGAGTTTGTTGCAGAATAGAATTTTATCCTCGGGTTGTGTTAAAAATTGTGTGAATTTATATCCTTTCACCCCAGAGTACCTGGATATTCAGGAAAAATAACAACCGAAAAATTATTTAATTTCAATTAATATTTTTTCTAAAAAGAAAATTATTCAGTTAGTGTCAATCAATATCTACAATATTTTTAATAAAAAGTCATTATCATTATTTTCTTAATTATTTATTTTTTAAATTATTTATACTTTGCACTTATTCCTCTTGCCTTTGATAGTATTGTTTGTAGTAAAAAATTTTTTAAAAAATTAATGATTTTGTTTATATATACAACATATATATATATATATATATATATATATATATATATATATATATATAAAACATTAATAAGCAATAGTAATAATACAATAATTATTAATATATATGAATATATTAACTTTAAAAGATTGAAGGTCACCAGCAGGAAGGCAGAGCTGAGGTTTCTGAATCCATATAGGGTTTGTTAATATGGTCCTGGCCTTCACATTTATATACAAGGGCCCACAGAACCGCTGAATTCGACATATTTTTCATCATTCGCTGAATTCGACATATGTTTCATCATTCGATCCTCTTCCCTTACTACACCCATCAGTCCAATACCCTCTCTACATTTAAATCCAGCCTACTAAATCACTTCTTGTACATCCAGTTCCCTTAAAACTGTAAATATGTATATAAATTAATATATCATTCTTAATTATTTTTATTTTGTGTTTTTTCATTATTTTTTTAATTGATTAAAGATAGAAGGTAACTCAATTTTTTTTTTATTATGCCTGCTTGTTTACTGTGTGATTAGTTTTATATATCTCTGAGGTTTCATTGCCCACATTTCTGTCTATCTGTATCATCCTAAAGGGACTCGTTCCAGAATAAATAAAATATTATTATTAATAAAAAAAAACCTTGTATATTAGACAGATGTACAGAAACATATATCATTTATATTAATGCATTGTTTTTTATTTCAGCCTCCCCACTTTCATTTGGAGAACTTTAATTGATTGTCCTCTATTCTGGATCAGTACAAGCAAATCTTGACTCAATAATAAAAAATATTTATGAAAAACATATATAACAAGAAATCAATTATTTACAAATCTAAGTTAAATATATAGCTATAATTCAAGAAGAATAAAAATTGTATTAATTAAATTCTTTGTTTAACATGTTAATTCCTAATTAAATGTTTTTTATGTTTCAAGGTAGTTAATGTTGTACCTAATGGTTGGGCCTGATCCCTCTATCCTGCACCCTCTCTCCCTCCCTCACCAAATCCTTATAAATTGCATGTCCTTGGGTTCCTTTTAACAATTTATTAAAAAAGGCTAATTTTTCCCAAAAATCGACCTGATGGCAGGCGAAGGTTTGATTGTAAATTAGGAAAGTGTATGTTATTCTGAGTAAAAAGAACTGTGTCTGCCATTCCAGAGGCGCTGCTTTCAAAAATGGCAGGTGGTTTAAAGAATACTAGGCCAGTAACTTGAGGATTGAAAGTAGAAATCCATTGTGAAAAATGTGAGAAAAGTTTTTATTTTTTTAAATTGTACATAAATGTTTAGACATATTTATTTATTTAAGATATTTACAACTGTATTAATAAATAAAATAAATTTTGTAAATTTGATAACAGAAAATAACATGAAATCACTTGTTGAGAAACTACCCCACTGGCAGCACTCTAAATTTTAGACATATAAAAACAAAATTTCTAACGCGGGCCACCAAGAGAAAACTTTTTTCAGTCAAAAATAGTTGGTACTTAGTAGACGAAAAGTTTGATGCTCTACAACTTTGATTCTATGGGTTTTTTCTCTTAAGAAGTCATTTCCAAGCTATAGGGCCATTTATAGTAATTTTGCTCGGTTTTTGACAAATTTGATAAAAATCTGCATTGGTTGACCTTGTTTTTCTACCATACCACTTAACCAAATTATTAGGTTTTGGTACTCGTGACGCACAATTTAACGTTCTATAATTTATTAAAAAGTATATTTTTCGCTTTGATGCATCGTTTAGGAGTTATAGGTGAAAAAACACAAAAATATCTAATAAATCTGACTTTTTTGGCTTTAAAAAGTTTTCCCTTGTTGGCCCGCGTTAGTTATTTTGTTTTTTACATGTCTAGTCCAAGTTGTGCCTTGGAGGAGCTAAGTATCCCTCAGAAGCTTATGCGCTTAATCAAGATGACCATGGACAGCTCGAAATGTAGAATTCGCGTCGGTTCTGATGACTCCTTAGAGTTTAAAGTGAGCAGCGGGGTTCGGCAAGGGGGTGCCCTCGCCTGTCTATTATTCAACTTGGCAGAGGAGAAAGCTGTAAGAGATTCCGGTATTCAGACCAGCGATATAATCTTCAATCGCCTGACACAGCTTCTTGGTTTTACTGATGATATTGACATAATAGGAAGGTCTGAACGGGCTCTCAGAGAAGCGTTTATAGCCCTTGAAGCAGCTGCAAGACAACAGTCTAGAATTCAATGAGAGGATAACTAAATATATGAGAGTTGGTGGTGAGGTGGATCTGAACTCTCCATTTGAGGTAGACTCTTTTAAGTTTGAGAGTAAACATTTTTATATACCTTGGGTCTGAAATAAATAGCAAAAATGACATGGCTCAAGAAATACAGAGAAGGATCACGGCTACCAATAGATGTGTCTTTGGACTTGGCCGACACTTAAGAAGTAGGTATCTCTCAAAGAAGACCAAGCTGATTCTATACAAGACCCTTGTAAGGCCTGTTTTGACATATGGCTCAGAGGCTTGGACGATGACGAAAAGTGATGAGATGAAGCTGAGTGTGTTCGAGTGAGGAGTCCTCAGAAGGATTTATGGTCCAGTAAAGGAGGGTGATGTCTGAAGGAAAAGAAAAAATAGGGAGCTCAGTTCTCTTTATACAGACATCGAGGTAGTCAGATATATTAAACTTGCCAGATTAAGGCGGGCAGGGCATGTGGCCAGAATGAGTACCGTTGAAATACCTAAGAAAGTAATGATGGAGGAGATGCACCTCGCAAGAGGGGTAGGAAGGACGAGGACGAGATGGTTGGACAACGTGGCCTATGACACGAGAAGCCTGCTTGGCGTACGGAACTGGAGAGCTGCAACAGAAGACAGAACCAACTGGCGGAGACTCTTGGAGGAGGCCCAGTCTCGGTAACGGGATGTCGTGCCACATATGTATGTATGTAAACAAAGTTAAAAAAATAAAACTTTTCTCACATTTTTCGCAATTGATTTCCTGTTTCGATCCTCAAGTTACTTGCCTAATATTGTTTAAATCGCCCGCTATTTTTGAAAGCAGGAATGACAGACAAGGTTCACTTTACTCAGAATAACATACACTTTCGTAATTTACAGTCAAACCTTCGTCTGAGATTAGGTCAATTTTTGGGTCCTGGCTCCAAGCCTAACCTCCTAACTCCCATCCCTATCTCCAGGCCTCTTCCTCGAGATAGGGATGGGAGAGAAAATGCTAAATGTTTGAAAAGAACAGTGATCTCAAATGAATGAACTGTTCTTCCAAACCGATAACAATAGTTGGTTTTTTTTAGTTCACCTGTTTGCCAGTAGTCGAGTTGCCGTTTGATCTGTTTTTCGTTCCGTTTTTTCCAAAAGAAACAGAAGCTCTTTGTTTTCCAACTAACATATCAGTTCATCATGAAAATAACCCAACATTTTTTTTTATAAGACATGTTTCAACTGTTATGTTTAGGGATGTAATTTTTAGCTCCCATTATTAATGAAGGCTAGGAATAAATAAACACTTTCATCATAGTTACTACATTACTAAATTAACTTAAGCATATTTATAGGCAAACTTGTTAAAACGAATAAGACTGTTATCAAACGAATAACAGTATTGGTTACATAACAGTATAGGTTTTATACCATGAATTGTTGTGTTGTTCTATGAACTATTTTTTTTTTTTCAACAGTTCTTATGAACTGTTGTTTTTTGTAAACCAACAGTTCATTTACGTTTTTCAAAAGTATTAGAAACGCCCACCTCTAGGCTTGAGCACCCGCAATCACTAGCGGAGCCAGGATTTAATTTTTTTAGGGAGAGGCTTCAGCCCAAAGTCTAAAGGTGGCTCTGTAAAGAATTAATAAATAAATAAAAGGTTAAAAATGGAGTTGATAACCAGTGCAGTTCTACACCATTAAACAAAACCAAATTTACTTTACAAGAAAAAGAGATTAATTTAAATGATTTTGAGATTTCAAATAAAAAATACATAGTTAAAAGTCAAGAACACTTAGTTTTAAGCTCTAACATTAGAGTAAATTTAATTTCAAAACTTATATAAAAATATTCATTAACAGTCTCTAGACAATTTAAATATATTAAAATCTTTTGCTGGAGTATCTTGCAGTTCTCACTCAATAAACATGCTCACTCTACAAAATCGTAAGATCTAATTTTGATCACTGCTGTGTCATATACAATATATAGAGCTCAGACTGAAATTGTGGTTCAAATGAACTAAAGGAGTTTATTGCTTATATCAACATAATACATCAGATAATTTTTATGGTCTTAGTAGATTTGCATTGATGAATATCTACTTTAAGATCTAGCTCCATTAAAAATGCACTTCAAGAAAGTTTTTTATTAGTAAACTTTGTCAAAACATAATCTGTAGAAAGTAGAATTGTAATTGAGAGTTCTGATGCGCACATCAGATTTTTATATTGGTAAACAATTCATCATACCTAATCAAATTGTAAATAAATAAAATTATGCCTTAATTGAACCATGGTATTATTTTAGAGAAAATAACTGAGAACATAAGTGATACAATATGGATATACAGGAGTTTATTTATATAAATAAACTAGTTAGTGAGAACCATTGTCAGCCATCTTTTTACTACCTACATTTAAATAAAACACCACAACCCCAAAACAAATGATAATTTAAGGAAACTACTTCTACACTAACGCAAGATGTAGGGATAATAAAAAAGTTAACAAAAAATTCCAAACATGTTACATACTTTTTTTTATATTTTCAATACCTTTTAATACATTCTGATTTAGCAATAAAGATGATTAAAATTAAATAATATCTACTGAATTAAGTGATATAAGAATACAATATTGTGTTCCAATGAATAAAACATATTGTCTCTACCAATTTTATCTTTCCACTACTATCTTGAATCACTGCCAATAAACTTCTTTTTTAATTATTAAACTTTGCATCACTGTTTCCAGAAAATTAATATTCACACTTGTATGATCACCCAACATATCAAACTTTATCAACTAACAAGTTATATGTATTCCCGAAAAAATAAATTTTATATATTCAGTAATAATATAATAATTACTTAAAATAAAAAATGTAAATGATTTGAAAATACTTAAGATATTATAGTATGGACATTTAGCTCATTTAGAAAAATTTAATAAAGTGGACACATTAAAAAAAGTAAGCAATCGTATTTCTAAAATTTTATTAGAAAAAAATATTGGTTTTACAAAGTTATACTGATAATAATAACAAACATCCTATATCAAAAGTGTTAATTCATGTGATGATTAACTGAGAGTGAATACAAAAACATAAATTTCCTAAAATGATGTGACATAATTTTAATATAAACATACTTTTTTTCTTTTCAAGACTATTAATTTTTAAAAGCTGCATGGGATCAAACCTCTCCTAAAATATAGATTTTTTTTCCTTTTAAGTTTTTTTTTTCCTCTCCCCTACAAAATATAGTTTAAAGTTACCACTAAACTGTCTAAAGTAACAAATATTTTTAACTGCGAAATAAGAAAAAAGTGAATTATATTCAGAAGAACTAATAAAGGATTAATTAATTCTATACAACAGGTATAGTATAACAAAATAAACACAACATAATAGTCACTCAATTACAATAAATCCTTAATCAAAAATCAACAGAAAGCAATTACCAACAAATTTCGACGAGGGAATACACATAAAAACTGTCCAGTAACTATGGCACTGTTGATCAATCAGGAGAGCAGCCACATAAAAACAAAGCTTCAATTAGATCTTCTGACGTAAAATACTTTTAAAGATTAAGCGGTAATATGCATAAACTTCCTACATTCTAAAAATTTGATTCCTAAAAACTTTTTAAATATATATTATTTTCAATTATATCAACCAAACAGGTAAATACAAGCCGATATATATACCAGATGAAATATGTTGATAGGCATACGATTAGTTTTAGGAAAGTATAATTTATTAGTTACAAAGTTTTGCATTAAAAAAGGTAAAACTACACGTCGTTTCCAAGTGTTATCAAGTTACACATATAAATTTTAATCATAGATATACATATATATATATATTTGTTCTGTTTTGATCCACCAAATTAATTAATAAATACAGATTTGAGGCGCTCTCATATTTGATAATCCTTCAAAACATAAAAGACACTATTATTATACATAACATAAATTGAACTAAGGAAAACAAAGAGAGGATTTGTGTAAAACAAGTCTTGGAAAAGGAAAATATAAAATCTAGCAAACTGATTAACAAAGATAAAAATAATTAAAAAGGAAAAGGAAAAGAAAGGAACACAACAAATTATTTGGTAACACGTTTTTAACATAAATAACCCTACTGCTGTTTGGAAATAGTAATATTTAACTTCTCTTATTGTTTATATTTCTTTATTGTTACACACACATATACATACACATTTAAAAAAAAAAAAATGAATATATGTATGTGTATATGTATATAAATATATAATATTTACCTCTTTTTTTCTTTTTTTTTTTTTAGACTTATAGGATTTACAAGTATTTTCCTATAGAAACACGCATCACTTCTTTATTAGTCATATAACACTATTCTCACAATTACATACAATGTACATGATACATATACTAAATAATTTATCATTAAAATGAGGTCAGAAGTTTAACTTTTTAAATGTTATTTGCAGTGTATTATAAATTCCTATTTATTTATATAAATCAGTTGTCTCATGAAAAAGAATAATAATAATAACAAAATAAAAAGAAATCAAACTGAAATCCCTTTACAGCCAGAATCTTCTCATTTCTCATACTAACATATATTTGAGAATATGCACGTCGGACAGGCAACATTCATTCTTCTATACTTCCACATACATACAAATTATACACTTAATTTTCTAAAAGCAACAAACGCCCACTTTGAATTCATTTACTACACACAGGTATATATTTAAATCATTATTATTTACACCAAGGAAGAGAAAATAATAAACAGAATCGAAAAATGGATTAGGACACTAGGATACTTAAAACTAAACACCTATACAATGGATCATAATAATTAATGAAGTAATATTGTGAGCAAAAAAACAATGCGAACAAAAATTAAACTATCCAAAAGAGAAAACAAGAATGAAAAACATCAACCCAACGACAAATTTATTATAATATATTTATTCCTTTATTTAATAATAATAATATGTTAATTATTTATAACCAATTAAAGATAATTATATTTATAATTAATTAAAGTTCAATCAATTAATAATATTGAGGATAATATACACACCACATAGGGCAAAAAAGAAAGATATATCGTTGACAATCCCTAAAGAAAAAGAAAAAAAAAAAAAAAGAAACGAACAGGTATGGGCTTTCTAAGATATTCACAATTCTTAACAGTTCTCCTAAACCAGCCACCCAGAAGGACAGTTACCGTTTTATGTACATATCTGTATATGATTGCCTATATAGGTTTAACTAGAGACACACTTACATATACACATGCGTACATTTTTGTTACGGCATTTTATTCTAAAATTACAATTATAATATAATACACAGTGCCCTTCTCAGTCATTGGGTGAAAATAGCTTTTATATTAAGAAAATCTGGCGTCAAATCTGTGTAGCATACTTCACTTTTAAGGTATATATAAGTATATTCTTCTCAGCACACTCAATGACACACATTTCACCATAACATTAATAACTATAATATTATTTATATATATATTTATAATTTTTATATAATAATGATGTATTATCGTTATATCATTATATATATATAGAGTTGTGAGGAGAGACTCAGAAAGATAAGAGGTTAACAGGTCTAGTCCAATATGTATTAAAGTTGGCCGTCGATGAGTAAATTATATCTTGTGTATTTTCTCCCCAACAACGACGGGGTTGTTCCTCCTGATCTCTTGGGCTCCAAGCTCCCTGTAGTCAAAGGTACAATTGTGTTTATCAGAATATCGGTGCACTGCACAGTACTGTCCGCCACACCGGCATTCAAAACCTAAAATCACATTAAATAAACATTAGCCATTAGCCAAGCAGTTTAATACAATATATAGAATAATAAAAAAAAAAAAAATTAATACAATGAATAACGCTCAGCAAATCGTGGCCTTGGTTTGAAAAAGTTTTAACTGCATTTGCTATAATTTTGAGAAACAGCGCTTCAAAGTTACGATTTACTGTAGTATAAATATTTTGTTACTCAGACTGAAAATTTTGTTTGTACAAGACCTTGAAGCAGTGAACTTGTATTAGCTTAAGGTGACTTAATTGTACTACTTATTAATAAAAAACCAATTTGAATTACCCGACCTTTTCCAAGGTAGCCCCCTCTTTTTTGTGCTAATTTGACTGAGCTACCATCTTCAGCTTTGAATCCACAAAAACAAGAATAATTAAGATTTAAATAATAATAATAAAAGAAATACATAAATTATGGCATAGTCTGATTTTCAAATTAAGGAGCTAAATAAAACAAAAATGTGTTAGCCAAAATAAATGTTGCCTCTGATAGCGTTAAATTAAAAAAATAAGAACAATGTTATTTTGGTAAAGAGAGCACACTAACAAAACAGCTAAATTCTATTTTGAATTATAATTAGGATAAAAATGTATTTATAATTAATCTTTACACTATGGGGAAGAGTCTGATAAAATACAAAACAAAGGAAGTATATTTGCATTTTGCATTACATTCTTTGCTTATCTCTCTGGCAATTTTTGGATGCACTCTCAGAAAAACTGTACATCTTTTGAGGAAGTCCAACCATAGGCCATTTATCAATATCTCTGTAATTGATCAAATGTTTCATGGATAGTGCATGAGATATCGATGAAAACAAGTGGTAGTGGAAAATGCCTAAGCCTGATAATACAGTGGGTAGGCCTGGAGTTCGTAACCAAGTGTGGAAATGGTGTCTTTGATCGCTTTCGCTGTGAATGTTATTTTGCAACATCTTGGTGCTATAAAATAACTTTTCCTTAAATCTTGTAGTCCGTTCTGGACCACTTTTTAATCAATCCATGGTTCAAATTGATCATTAGTTGACGTAAGTGAACAGTATCAATTGTTTTCAGAACCCTCTGGTACACAATACTTTCCTGATCCCACCAAATGCACTGTTGCTTTGTTTCCAAAAAGATTCGGTCTTACGGCAGATGTTGATGATTGCATACTACTTCCAGTTAATCAATTTTGGCAAAAAAAAATTGCTGTAACAACTCAGGCATATACTTATCTTAAATATGTAATTTCAGTTTCATAGGCATATACTTATCTTAAATATGTAATTTCAGTTTCATATGACTTTTTGTTTTTGCGATAAGCTGTGCTCAGATACATCATTTAGTGAAACTTATTTTTTTGGTTTATCTTGTAATTTCGTTGAAATTCAAAATCAAAATTTTTCACTATCGCAATTCTTTCCCTTACTATATATATTTTATATATAGGTAAGAAAAAGCAATAATTGTCATACTTAATCATTAACTTTTTATAAAATTAATTTCTACTGAAAAGTAGATTGGAAAGTGAAAGTTTTGTGATTCATTGCACGAGATTATTTAAATAAGATTGTTCTTAACTATTTGTCTAATGCAAAAAATTTTGTTTATGGTTTACAACATAATTAGATAATAAAAAATAAGATAAGATTTATTTGATATTTGGTACTTAAGTAAAGGCCCCTTGTTATCAAATTATTAACACTTGCAGATCAGATAGACAATTGAGAGATTGGCAAACTATGTCAATTTAATGAGGTAAAGCTAAAAACTCATGAACATCTATTTGCTTTTCGCTTGAATCATAAGATAATTTTATCACAAATAGAGGGGAAAAAAAGAAGCCCTACACAAATATTCAGCTTTTTGGCATAACCTCCACACCAAAAATACGAGGTTATAGAGGCCAAATGACTAAATATTTATTCAGAAAATTTTCATAGGCATAAGTTGTAGGATCACGATAAAATGAAACCACTTACGAAGTAATTTTGGACGAGTGGTAATAATTAGATAAAAGGGGTCTATACCATGGACTATGGATGTTTCCATAACTTAAAATAAAAAGCATTTCAATTCAATAGATTCAAGTTAAACCTAGCCAACCCAACTGGCTTCAAGAGAAATGTAACATTAATGTGTTTGTTTTTTAAAAATTATAAATAATAAAAAGTAACAATACATTTTGCGATTCAAAATAATTATTAATGAGATATTAGCTTAACCTTTCTTTCACGAATTTTCAGATTCTTTCAATAACACTTGGATTTCATGGTTAATAGAAATAATCGAACTTGTGCATTATATTAATAACACATTACAAACTTCATTTATCAAACATTTTTTGTATATATATAAGAAATAGAAAATTTAATACAATATAAAATCACTCGGCAGGCCATACAATACGTGATGACCACAGGTTGAATGAACAGGTCCGGTTAAAAAACTAATGATTGGTTCTTCAAATATTATGGTTAATTTTTAATAGAAATAGGAGTAAACTTACCAGTAAGACCTAGTTTCTTACGGCAGACAGCACATCTATTCTTCTTTTTTGTTTTGTCATCCTTACCATCTGGAGGACTTGTGCAAGAGGCACCTCCTTCAGAGGAGGCACCTTCTCCGGTACTAGCTCCCTCACCATCAAACTGAAAAAATAAATCTAATTACCATGATTAACTTTAAAACACTCTAATTTCAATGTGCACACATATTAGGAGTTTGTTCTACAATTAAATAGGAATTACATCATTAATAATTAGCATGATCTGTTGGATAACATTCCAGCCTTAATTATCCCCGTTAACCAAGGAACATAAGAGAAATTTAATATTAAGATAAAAAAAAAAAAAAGTCAATATTTATTTATTTTCAACTGATGCCTTCTGAACAAGTTAGGATGAGAGGGCTTCCCCAGATAAACATCTTATTTGTCCCCAAAGTAAGAATTGAACTAGACTGTTAAGATTGTTTAAAGCTAGAAACAAATTACAGTTCTCTCAAAAACTATATATTAACTTCATTAATCATATAGAAACCTTCAATACATTAATCAAGATTATAAAATAAAAGGCATCAAGATTGTAAACAAACAAAAATAATGGCTTTTACTGAACCAAAATTCTAACCTCTTCTCTAGAATTGCCACTAATGCTTTGCTTCTTGACCTCTTCATTACTTTTTTTCTCTTCTTCCTCGGACATTTATCTATTTCTACTTCATTTTTGAAATGGTAATCCTCCCTGGTAGGCCATGGAGGATAATAAATTTCCAGCAATATTTTTTTTTTCTTTTTTTAAATAACCTAGGCATGAGATAGGCCTAGGCTATATATATAGCCAGAAAAGGCAAAAAGTAGAAAATAATGGAATGGTATCCATAGTAACATGTATTAAATAGGATTCACTGCCAGTTTTATTTAATTAACTTTATATGTTTTAATTAAATTTGTAATGATGAGAAAGCCATAAAAACTAATACAAGCTATTATGTTGGGAAACTTAAGGAATTAATACCTTGATTGTGATAATTTAAAATATTTATATTACATTTAACTAAAACCATTAACCATATGGTCATATGGCAATAATTGTTTGATTTCCTATTCATTTAATTTATTTCTTCCATATGATGGTTTTGATAACAATGGATTAACCTTACTTTTAACTAGCAGTTTGCAATAGAATAAACATGAATAAAGTAATTGTCATTATAATACCTGTTCTATCAACATTCATATAAAAATAAATAATGGCAATTATAGAAATCACCAGCTTGCTTACAGAAAACATAAATGTGCAAAGTTGATAGTGGCAGAGAAGAAAATTATGGTGATTTATTTTTAAAATTAATAATCATCCTAATAATCAACTTGCACATTTTAAAGATATGGAAAATGGCATGATTTTCCTGATTTGGTCAATATTACCATCAACCATTGGCAAAAGTTTTTCCTCTCATTTAATCAGATTGATCTATACAGAATGAAGTATATGGGTAATTCTAAGATTAAAAGACTATTTTAAATAATCAAATTAGCCAATAAAATCAACAGTTTTTTTTTTTTTTGTATTAAGAGTTGTATTTACTATCTAAATAATTATTTTTTAGATAATTTAATTCATCTTGATATTCATATGTTAATTTCATTCATGATTATCTGAAGTCATTATTCCATTTCAAAATTTATTAATTTAATTTATTTTTTGAAGAAAAAAAAATCTGTCTCTTTCATGTTAACAATAATAAGTATTTTCATAAATTGAATAAAAGAATTGTTGGAAGTTTAAATATCATCACTGTATCTATAATTCACTTTGAAAACAGTAATAACATTTTATCTTTCGAAGCAACATAACTTTTGTTTTAAAAAAATATGAAACACAAATTTAATACGCAGTTGTGAAGAGGTTGATGACCGCTTTCAAAACAAAGTACTAAAAAGTAAATAAGTTTAAGCATCTGATTACAGCAGAGTTACGGGGTAATCACACACAAATGTACGAACCTGTTTTGACATCTTTCACTTTCGTGGACAGCAAAAAATTCAACTGTTAAGGTTTTTGAGGTTTCCATCTCCTCCACAGGATCTCACAAATTTTCTCTCAATGTTTTGTCAAAATTTTCCTTTTAAACTTATTTCCTTCCAGTCACCGTTTTGGCTACGGTAATGACTGTACAAACATGGGACATGTATATTTACTCAATGCTTGGTAAATATAAACCACAAACTAAAATTATACTTTAAAACTATTAAATAATGGCTAATTTTCACTGGCGAAATAAAAAATTGGTTCTGTAATGATTACAAAAAATGAGATTTAAATTGGAAAAAAGATTATAATTTAAATTGACGATACGATACTTGAGTTGGAAGCAGAAATGACATTTTCATGGTTCAAACATTTATACGATTTGCATAACAACACAGACTTGACAAACTACTTTCCAAATTCAAAAAGACTAAGGTCATACAAAATAAAGGGCAAAACTATTTAATGAAGTCATTAGAAAATATCACGTTTCCTTTGAACAAGATAATGGCCATAATCTTAGAATTACCCACATAAGTTTAAGATAAAATTTAAATTGTTTAAACATATACCAATTTGAATCGGTACATACCAAATGCTCATATATCATCACTATGCATTAAGACCAATTAATATTTATTTGATTAATTAATGCAATATAGTATGTGTAAAATTCATAAAATATCACAATTAAAGCTCAAAACTGATAATTCAACTGAAGTTTCACGAAAACTATTATCTATTAAAAATCTTTTGTCAAATCTTTCTTAATAAAAAAAAAAAAAAAAAAAAAATTGCTTTCAAAATTATGAAGTTTAATATTTCACTTGAATAGTTTTAAGTCAATAGGAAATGCTTTGGTAACAAAAACCGAAGAAAATAATATAAAAAAACAAGCAGATAAAAGAGATTGGCAAAAAAAATTTTAATTTTCAAAATGAAACAACTGCATGCAACTCTTCAATTCTTACCTCACTACCACCGGCAATGTGTTCTGAAGGTGTGGCAGGATTCGACTGCTGTTGAGACTGAATAATAACTGGCATTGTCGGGCTGGCAGAACTGAGTGCTGATTGCCCAGTCTGTTGGTTAGACTGTTGGTTACTGCTGGTGTTCGTCTGGCTACTCGCTGAATAACCTAGAAAAATCAGATAATGATAAAAAAACTGCTTATTACAATTTCAAATAAGGCCAGTTCTTTATTTAAATAAATACTTTATGATCAGAGAATAAATTAGTATTGTTTGAGAAAAATAAAAATATACAAAGAAGAAAGTAATACAAATGGAAATACAATTTTAATGTTATAAGACTGACTTCTACACAAACATATGAAAGGATGTGATTAATGAAATGAAAAAGTCATGTCTTCTTCATAGTTGTTTCGCTTGAATTGCTACCTGTCAGTTATATAAAAAAAAAGTCTTGATTATTTTTCCCATTCTCAAGAATTTGATCAAAATCGTTGAAGCCTTTTTTGATAAAACTGTAAATTGATCATATAAAGTACTCTTTATGTTAAGTTGATGTTAATGAAGAAGTTGCTGTAACATCTCAGGCATATATGTATCTTACACACATAATTTCAGTTTTTGAAGACTTTGTTTTTGAGCTAGACTACTCACATACACAGACTTCATTATTTCTCGGGGGCCATTGAAAAATTTATTTCTGTTGAAAACTTGGATATAAAATTTTTTGTGATAATTTTTTTCCTTGCATTTTCAAATATGGAGGGTAAGTGGAAGTAAAAACTAAAATATTAACAATCTAAATTTTTCAACAACTATGTAGCTTCATTCCAAATAATGAAGAATTTAATTTACCTTTAACTAAATAAAAATACTTGTTCAGCTTTTAGTGACTAAAAAAACTAACCATTCCTGTTAATATTAATAATTCCTAGTTATTCAAATTACTGATGGTGGATACCTACGTGATCATGTTGGTTGGCAACTTTTTGTAGCATTTAAAGCAATATTCCCGGATAACATAGAATTTTATTGCTATTGTTTATTATTTTTAAAAAATTTAGAAGTAAAAGACATACGGACATCTATCAGCACTCAATAAATTTAATTGCACTTACAAGTAGTTTTTAAAATATTTTCAAATTTATTAGGAAACCATTGTTAAATCTATTGGGTTGTCCCGAAAATAATGCAGAATTTTGGTTTTTAAAGAAAATTCACAACTGTTATTTAATCAAAATTTTGTCTCCACTACTATCAATACATTTCTGCCAACGTGTTGAAAACTTTTCCATCCTCTCGGAATAGAATTTCATATCTTTAGAATTGATAAAACTCCAAAAATGCCTTTTCTAATTCACTTTATTCATTAAATTTGTTGTCAAGTGAGTAGTGGTCCAGGTGTCTAAAAAAATGATAATCCATAGGCGAGAGGTTTGGAAAATAGGATGGATGTGGCAGTTTCATATCCAAGCTACAACAGTTTTTGTGACATCACACGTGAGACATGAGACTAAAGCACTGTTATGCAACAAAATGGGATCCTTCTGACTGACCAAAAATGGCTTCTCATTGTTGCTAATTTCTGATAGCATTAATTTGGTAACAATACAATTCGGCACTGATGGTTTCCCACGGTTTAAAAACCTATAGTGTATCAAACCAAATGAAGGTCACCAAACAGTAAGTAACCATCCCCTCTTTTTGATGAGTTGGGGACTTCAGAAAACGTTCTGCTGCTTCTCCTTTGTCAAGCCACTGTCCAGAACGTCTACTGTTTTGTTATCGTAAAGTATCTATCTACTTTTCATCACAAGTAACAATTCTGGACAGAAAAGTGTAGTTATTGTTTTGGCAGTCGTTTAATGACTATGGAACCTAACTTTCAAGCTTTTTTACTTTTCTAATCGCCTTGAGGTGATCATCGACGGTCGATTTGCTAAGGTTAAGTTTCCCTGCAAGAGAGGAAGTCCTTCCACGACAACCTTCTTTGTCTTCAAAGCTGAAGCCTCCCTCCAGAAATTTTTTGAACCACCATTGAACAGTGCACTCAATAATGCTGCTCTCCCCACAGACTTAATAAATGTTTCTGGCCATCTGGGCTCAATTACGGCAGAGTTTAAACTCGTAAAACAAAATTATAAGAAAATCATGAGACTTAGTAAATACTGAATTATTTCTAAGCAGTGAAATGCTACAGAGGTAAAGAAACATCGTTTGGGAAAGTATTAATAAGTAATAATTGAATAATCCAGTAAATGTAAACAGTTTGTTATATAGAGGGGTATTTTAAAAGAAAACTCAAAACCCTGCATTGTTTTCTGGACAACCCAATACATATTATAAATATAGGCATTTCAATTAACTCCCATACTTTCACCATATTTTTTTACTAGTAATACAGGCTGGTTAACGTTTTGAGACCAAAATCTTCATCTTCAGAACCATTCTTTATTTATCAGTTTTAAATAAAATGAGAAATTATCTTTGGGATCTATTCTAGTTTAAGAGGTTGTGATGACTGAATGTGTTAAGGTATAAAATGTATAACATTATTGAGTCTAGCAACACCGGTTCAAATTGGTCTAGGGTGAGTTGAAATTTATTTTTCATCACGGAACTACGGAACAAATGTTGACCTTCTCACTCTGGTCAGAATAGTATTGGTTGTAGGTATAGGGTAATCAGAAAAAAAAGAAGGTAAAAAATGATTCTGAAGATGGACATTGTCGCCTGAAAACGTTAACCAGCAAGAATTATTAATTTTTAATCAAGGACCTTAAGTGTTTTTTTTTTTTTTTTTATGTCTTTGTAGCAGTAAAAGATACTATCATATTTGCAAAATTGTGCTATTACGATTCAAAATTTGAGCACATTTAAGTCAGATTTAGATTTTTATTGGAAATCTAAATCAAACACAACATTAAAAAAAATCAGAGCTATCTGATCTTTTGCTTTTGCATTTATTTATAATATTTTTAACAAATATAACTGATATTAAAAATATTATCTTATTTAACACAATTATAAGCCAGATTATTTGACCACACACCCCGATCAACTCCTTCTCATATTACATCACGGTCAACCATCTATACATCATTATAAGGCACAGAGTATGAAATATCGCTACTGCCAGTGCAAAATATAACTTTTTTATATGTTTATTCTCTTTGTGCCAAAGATGACATTTTAAAGTCTGCTAAATAGGAAAATAGCAGAAGGAAATAAAATATGAAATTATACTAATAAATCATTAAAGAATATAATCAGTTTTAAAGTTATTCTTTAGAAAAAAAAAAAAACTTAATTTTTTATATACGACCTTTTGCACTAACAGTAAGGATATAAGTTCCTTGTTCCTTAAATAGTTATTGTGTCATACTTATGGTGGTAGCACAAAATAATAAAACAAATTAAAGCAATTTAAATATATAAATTATTCAGAAGACAGGACAGTATTATTCAACTGTATATATGTTTTAATCTAAATCTATCAAGTATTCTAACAGAAAAAAAAGTTTAGAATAACCACTGCTACAACTAAACCTTATCAAAATAATTGGCAGCACACAAAAGGGGACTCATTTGGCACAAAGTTAAAACTACTACTTTCTTTTTTTCCTGACCCATTGACATTTCTTACACAATATTTACTAATATATATATATAAATTAGAAGATTACTATATCATATTTTAATTTATATATGCATATGTGAATATTTTGTAGTGTCAGAGTTAAGGAGGAAAACAAAACATATGAGTTCTCCCTTCGGGAATGCCAATTAATCGTGGTTGATGCGTAGTGTGATTACCATAATCATTTAATACTGCCATACTAACCAGTGGGTGGTGGCTGCTGCTTCTTTTTTAGAGCTTCTTTGTAACACAGGGAGCAGAGTCCATCTGTTGATGGGTTGCCATAGAAACCACAGCCTGACCTGCAGAGAGCCTGCATTGAATTAGACTCCCTCTCCATTGTAGCCACTGCAATATCAGAAAATATTAATACTTATTTAGAACTTGAATTCATCATTTTAATTTTAACAGAATAATAAATGCAAATTAATTAATTAAATTAATACACAATATAATAATCAATCCATCATTGGTCCAAGACAGAATATAATGTTTTTACTAAATTTAAAACAGAAAACCTGTACCGCTACAACCCATAAAGGGTCTTGGGTTCAGAACGATTTAGGGAAAACACTGTTTCTTGGTCAACGGTTGTGCAAGGAGGTGATTTGACAAAGATCACGCTCAACCGCCAGATTTTCCCCCTTAATTAATTATGGGTAGCCACTTTATAGAAGCTGGGTGTGCCACAAGAGGGTCTCTCTGCCCAGGATCGCCCCACGGCCAATGAAACAGAATAAATAATTTTTCTGCCAGAGCCGGGGTTCGAATCTCTGGGAGCTTTAGCACTGGAAGCTCAGTAACCTACCACTGAGCTAAATTTAAAACAGACTTTCTAAAATTTGTAACACAAATTGAATAAAATCAACTGACTGACTAATGAAGGGTAACCTAAACTTCTCTCCATTGTCTCAAAGAAAAATTGTTTTGAAAAATACCCCAACAAATATTCAAGGTATTTATTCGGACTTTCTAAATTACAGAACAGTAAAACAACATAGGTAATACAGTATTAACCAATAAATAGCAGTTTAACACATTTCTGTTTTAAGTGAGTTTTACCGACCCAGCAAAAAAAAGCAAGCTAAAATTAATAAATATTACTGCTTACAATCAACAAAGAAAACGATGAGGTGTGTGTGAGTTGTCCTGCCCTGATAAGATCCTTTCCTTTCCTGTCTTCTGCTTATAAAAGAGCCACTCACAGGCAGGGTAGGGATTGATTCTAATGTGCACAGCTTAGTCTTCCTGTCTGCAAAAGATAATTTAATTAATTTTAGAAATATCTAAGAAATGTGGAATTAAAAATCACAATAATTTTTATAACATCTTTTTCAATATCAATGATTAGATGTATAAAAGTTTGATAATGTTGAAAATGGCATAGCAACCTTTGCACAGAAATAAAAAAATGTACAATGAGCAATATTTGCATTTAGAGAACTTTACTTACAATACTTAGTTTACTAACTTATTTAGAATGTTTATTCACACTTTTTATATATTGCCAAACTCATTTAAACAATTAACAATGAAGGTAGTTATTTTATGTAATACCTATACCTTATGATATTTTATATTAACTTCAATTTTTAACAACCTACAAAACTTAAATTATTATAAAATCATATTATCTGTACTGAGCTTCTTGAATCCCCAGACCCAATTAGATACCATCGGTCAATGGTAATCAGACCTTGTGATGAAATAACAATCACACACCCAACCATACATAGCTAGCTATGTAAATGTTAAAAATTTATTATCACTATTGTAAATAAGGCGATGGAAATAAAATAAAAATATAGTTGATAACAAAGTACTGACTGTAGGTAAGGTAATAAACAATCTAGCATAGCTTTTTAAAGACATTATTCATACCTTAAACTTTAATTTACACAATGACCTACAATTATTTTATTCATGGTAGAAGCTTTCAGCTTACAATGCAAGATATCCTCAAAAGCCTGAAATTTACTGTTTCAAACCTTTGGACCATATATATCGTGTCTGTCTATTTTTACAAATGTACACTGATAAACTAAAATCAAATTCTTATAATCGAAATACCACATAGTGTAAATTAAAAACAATGCAGACGATTATACAAACATTTATTATTTCCTAATAAATGATCGTAATAACAATTACAGGCTATTGAACTACGTATGTCAATTAACCAAATTAAAAAAAAATTATATATATCTTAATAATTAAATTTTAAAAAACAAGCTACTAGAGTATGATACTTCTTGTGTGATGCGTAACTTTAGGGTATAATCTGAAAAAAATACCCTATAGTCTCTGAGAAAAAAAAACTTTTGTTTTTCTGTGTATTATTACAGCTGTTCATTGATAAAAACAATTTTATTTTTAAAAAGTTTATTGAGTATTAATACAATCTGCCACATTGAAGGGAAATAAGTATTAAGGTTACATTGTATTCATTCATACTGTATGTACATACTAAAGAGTTTACATGTAAATATAAACAATTAAAACAAAGAAAATAAAAAAGTAAATAGGATAAAGAATATATATACGCACAAAAAATAATGAATTGAAGTTGAGTAAAATTAAAATAAATAAAACACAGTCACACCTAAAAAGAATAAACCAAATCAATAAATCACTAATACAAGTTTCAAAGATGAAATGGGAAAAAACTTACTGGCCAGGACTAAGCTGTACATATCTATCTATTTCTGCTGGGTTAAACTAAATTTATACATAAGAACTCTCATTCATTCTCTTAATAGCCAGAATTAGCTACCCCACAGTTGAAATAGAAAGAAAATATTTAAGCAAAGAATTCATGAGGTCTTCAGACTAAAGACAAAGTATCTTTAAAATTCCTTTCTAGTAGACACCCTGATGTAATTATGTTAAATAAGGTTTAACATAACTAATGTAAATTCCAAGTAGTAAGAGTAGAATAATCATGGAACAGTGGAGGGGAAAAACTCAAATTAACAAACACAAATAATAAATAAAGGAACATTTTAAATAATGAATTATAAGCTTGATTCAAGTGAGAGTGAAGATTTCCATAAAGAGGCTATCCCTGGAATAAATATTGATAACACCACAACAAAAAGAATAACCCACCCTTAGGTTCCACTTCTAGTAAATAATTCAGTTGAACCCACTAAATACTCAAATGAAACACCATATAATTTATTTACTTTCCATATAATAAAAATAATTATATGCAAATGCATGTAATACGTTAGTTTTTATTATTTCAGTAATAAATTATTGTTCTATAATCATTATTATAAATAATTATATTTTTCATCATTATTATAAATAATTATATTTTTCTATTTAATCATCTTGAGACAATGTGAAACCTCTTACCCACGTTAATGGTAAAACTATCATTCAGTAGAATCCTATCTTATTTCTATAAGAAAGGTCCTCACTAAAGCACATTACACAGCCAGCGCTGATCATGTCGTTATAAACAGTTTCAGCAGGTATAATACTCAATAAAATAACGGGACAAGCGATAAAACAATGTTTAATATTAGGAACCTACATTTTATATCAGTTGTACCAAGAGACAAAATAAATTGTGCTTTTGCATCTCTACTTTCGTCACAATCTAGAACAAAACGGTGATTCACTATGACTAATTTCAACAACCCCTAAAGATAAAATGGTGGAGTCATTATCGGAGCTGTTATCACCGTCCTTATTGTTTCGAATGCGACGTGCTCTATTGCAGCAGGCACCACAATGATCCACCGAGGCGATAGTTAATCTTCAGCCACACATCTTCTGCACTGGCCTTATAACCTCAATCCACTCTCAAAACTTACTTATCGAGGGACAAAATGCGATTACGTTGTCATATGATTTAGTTCATCACAGAAAGGGTGGAATACTTTAGAAATCGATCAATAGGCGTAGTCAACCATTATAATAAGAGATGGATAATCAGTAATGATAAAATTCATCTGCGCATATTTATGATCAATAGTTCTAACTGAACGATTAACGAAAACTAAAATATCAATAATAATAACCAAGAATAAATAAAAGAATACATTTACAAGAAAAAAAAAGAGAGCACAAAAGACAAACCTATTTAACTTATATCAGTAATAACCTCATAACCTCTGTGTAAAGAGGCCGTTAGGTTAAGTTTACGTAAAACTACTGGTATACGGCATTCATAAATATTTTTAGAGTAGGTTATAATTTTGAAGTATAATGAAAGACGTGCCATTAACAAGTTATTTTTCATCTATCAACCCTCTCCTCATTTGACAAAGCACACATTAAGCATACACTATCACAAATTGAAATCACTGAGAACAAACAATCTTACCGAAAATCAACATTGTTCTGAAATATCAAATTTTTATTTCCACTTACCACTGGATTTTATTTAGATCGCAAATGGATTAACTGAAGGAAGCAGATACCTTTAAACTTACGCTCCACATGACAAATCGAAATGACACTTCGATAACACACAAAACAATTCAGTAAGGTTTTTGTTTAGGTTGAAATTGGACAACACAACATTCATTGGAAGCAACATAGCATAGGTTAGCAGATGGATAGGCAAAGAGCAACGCTCTTGATTTGGAATTTATAAATGGATTTAGAATAAATAAACTATAAATTGTAAAAATAATATACCGTTTACTTCACCAGGAAATGATGCAGGATGGTCTGCATTACAATTTAATCTGTTTTAAGAAGACAAGGTAAATTAAATAAGTTCATAACCTAAACTAATTTTTGAACAAATCGATAGTTAAAAAATTTAAGATTTTTTTTTAAAATGCAGATATCGTAGATTTCCAGATTTAATAAAATAAAAACAATCTGACGGCTAATATATACATATATTTAAATATTTTAATATCTAATATTTTCTTTAATTTATTTTCGAAGGAAAGAAATGAAGATCTGGCAGTAGCTCATCACTGTTTGTCTTGTAGTTATACTAATTCAATAGAGATAACATCAACAAACAGAAGATCGTCAAACAAGTTAGGCTAAAATTGCTTAAACAACGTTTAGTTGGTACACCGAGGGCGAACTCACGCGGTACTAAAATAATAAAAATATGTTTAAACTAAAATTTTGCTTTTCACTTTAACTTTTCGATATTACTTGAAAAACATTTGCAAATACATAGAGATAATTTTCAAAATAAATGCAAATTTACATTGTTTAATAAAAATTTCATGTTTCTATAGTAGTCTTGAAAACACACGTGCTGTTTACTGAAAGAAAAATGGTGACTGGCAATTTAACAGAACAAGAATCATCGTAAATCTGTCTCCAATACTATCTTGAGGAATACTCATGACAGTAGTATAACTTAATAAACTTGTAATATTTATTATTAAGGAATATTTTGCATTAATTTATTTCAATAGTTCTCCTAATAACGTATTACAACTATGCGAGAATTCTTGCATTAAATATTAACTCTAAAACGACAGAAGGAAAATATCTGGGTTAATGCAGAAGAACTTTTACGTCCCTATAGTGGAACCGTAACACGTCTAGAAAACGTGTTTATCTTTAGTAAAAATACAAAAATTATAAAGGAGTCTTTATCTTTAGTAAAAATACAAAAATTATAAGGGAGTCTTTATCTTTAGTAAAAATACAAAAATTAAAGGAGAGTCTCAAGGGAACCTAGAACTGTTTTCTTTAGGTTACTTTTTTTTCTTCAAAATTTTAGTTGGCGTAGACTGTAACCATAAGCAATACCTATAAAATTATATCTAGTTAAGACGACATCAGAAACAGTTGATAATTTATTTTGGTACTTTTTACTTTCTAATTTTTTTTTATTAGTTATCGCTAATTTTATTAACTGTCATGTCATTAATACCGTAATTTAATTTTTTGAGGGCGTTTCGAGTTCATGATGCCCCCATCATCAACCAACGTTTGTTTCCGCAGTTTTAGACCATAGTAATACTAATTGTATACAATTGTTTTTCAATGTATAAATATAAATTATAGTTCGACCATCAATAGTTGGTCAGCTCATGTTGCAAAAACTTGAAATTCACGTTTTTTCCTTCTAAAAAGTGCTTTTTTCCCCCTAACATTTTTATAAACTTATACATACATTGGAAGACCTCAAAACATGTATTTCCGTTAAAAAATAAAACAAACAAAAAATTTCACGATCGCAATCCTTTACTATATATTCCATATATAATAAAATAATTGTGATAGCCGAAAGTTTTAAACTGAGAACAAATTCTCGAGCATAGCGACGCCCGACCGTCCCACTCTGGTTAGAATGGGCTTGATTATATCTCAAGAACAATCCCCTTCCCCGTATGGCAGATATGCAAGGTAGAGGGTAGTAGAAAAAAAAAAAAGTTAACGATAGTAAACAATTGTTTTTCAATTTATTAATATAAGTGGATAGGAACTATATATGCAATAAGGTAATATAGATTTTGGGCTCTCAGGAGCGATAATTTTTGATAATTGAGGTATCAAATGAAAATGAATTTCCTGAAGCAGTGACGAATTCAATCTTTAAATTTCTAAAAAAATAATAAAAGTCATTGAAAAAAAAAAAGATATTACTAACAGATTAAATGAAAAAGCGAGCAAACTGGAGAGATCATCATTAAACGGTTTATTTGTGACCTATCGGTGGCTAGTAGCATATGCAATGTTCTTCTTCGTAAAAAGTTATTAGAATAAAAAGACCACCTTAGATGAGTTAGCATAGGTGTATGTAAAGAGATTAGCAGGACAAAAGCTTGCCACTAAAAAGTGAGATTGGATTAAACGCACAATTAAAAAACGCAAGTGCAATGAATTTCAATACGATACTCAACCAGGTATGCAAGTATCCTGGAAGAAAAAATATATGATAGAAACTACCGAACCATTGGAAAGATCTATATTACTTGCAAAAAAAAAAAAAAAAAAAAAAAAAAAAAAAAAAAAAAAAAAAAAAAAAAAAAAAAAAAAAAAAAAAAAAAAAAAAAATCCATCTCATTTCGAAAGTCTGTAACAAAAAGAAAAATAGAAAGGTAAAGGTTATAGTCGCAGCGATGCCTCCATCGGTTCTTAACAGGAAACTTATTAAATTAATGATTAATTATCTCAAAACGACGACTATGTAAATTTACCATTGTGGACAGCAATAGCACACTGTGGTTATTGAAATATCATACCACTTAGGAAGTGGAGCAACGTGTAATGTCATCGGCCAAGAGACATTGAGGGCTTTATTCGGAAAAGAAAGGAATCCAAGCTTAATAAAAGTCTCACAAGACATACATTATATGGGTGAGTATCTCAGTCATACTCATCTATACATTGAATAGAGGTAAGTATAACACCGAATTACGTTTTGAGGTTATTCAGAGCTCTTATGATTCGCCGACAGGAATCAAAGTTGTTACGGCTAGGGTCGTAATGCATACATGATGCAAGACCAAGAGTATTCGGAAGAAGAGCTTCATAATACTCAAATCCAATTCTTACCCTTCTGTTGGTAAAGGAATAGGATGTTTTTGTAGGGGTATAAGATTTCAAGCGGTCCTTAAGAGAAGAAATAAGACTTGTTGACACGATTAGGAGTTTAAGTAATCCATAAGGAAAAACGTTAAGAGTGCTCATAGACTCTCGGCAGTTAAATAAGGCACATACAGCACGATCCCATTAACAGGCACCGAATCCAAACTGACAAACACTAAGATATTGAATACACTTGCTCTTAAAGATAGGATATGGCAATTGAAATTATTTAAAGAAATCAGTTAACACACGGAGCACCTCAGCTACAGGTTGGCAAACTTTGGTTTTTCTTGCCCCTGTGTGGAGTAGTTTTAATCATCAAATATTGCTGCATACTTTTTCAAATAAGTTATTTTTTTTAAAGAAAATATGATGTGACAATTTCAATGTTATTATGCCATATCTATGGTGGCAGACGTTCATATTAACAGAGTACGGTGAGAGTACTTTCGGACCACACGGTCAAAAACTTTCTCCAAATCGGACACGTTTTTTGGCCTCAGCTCCAAGTCTATTATCGCATTCTGGCGGCAACAGCTAACATTAGAAACTAGCACGTAATCAACGATGTTAACTGATTTTCAGGAATCCTAAAATGCTGCTAAAACAAAAATGAAATTTTTCATTCTGGATAAGCGATATATAAAAAAAAATTTATCTTATAGTCTACGCTCCTATTTGTAAATATTTCGCAATAGCTTTGTTGAATGGTCAGGGGAAAACAAAATGTTAGCTCCAATTTATTCCCGCTCAAGTTCGTCCTAGAGCTAATTTATCATGGTTGAGGTGTAGTAAACAATAATTACTATTGCTTTTATCATTATTAAATAAATAAAAAAACAGTCTCGCGTACGGCTTCCCACTCGTCCATATATAGCAGTAACTCATATTACATTTTAGATAGTCATTTAAATGGTAATTAAATATTCTATACGGCTAAACTTGAAAAAAAAAATAATCGGACTAATATTGGTGAAGATACAAAACTGGAAGGTGAGCCCAGGAAGAGAATATTACGGCCAAGGTGATCGGCTAAGGAAGCGCCACGAGGCAAGGTCCCAACGGCAGTACCCTTCTTACCTTCCAAGGCTCCGAAGGATTTAACACAAATGCCGTATGATGATTGATCATCGATAAGACGGATAGGGGACACCTGAGAAGTGAACATCCAACATGAAACTGAAGAGGCACAAAGGCTCTGCCAATTGTCATGAAGAACTGGAGATAATAGATTATTATTTATTGTTACACCAGAAGACGCTGGAGCCCGGAGCGAACAGACAGGCGGCAGACAAGAAGCGAGTGCTGAGGCGCAGGCTTGTAGTGGTTCGATCCCTTCGGCGGCGGCACACCATCAAAGGGCCCCACGACCCTCCACGTCAATACTCCCTAGTAGCAACTCCATTATCTGTCCCAATAAATTAGAATAGCTAAGGGTTACATTGCAAATATGTTTAATATATAACAGCCATTTAGTAATCAACCTCTTTAATTTCAAAAGAATTTAACATATCGCCTTGTACCTCATGTAACCAAATATTTTCTGCCCTCAAGATTGAAGCCCGTTTTATGGGAGGAATAAAAGATTAACTATACACAGAGGAATAACACGAGTACACATACATGTTAGTGATTTTTTTACATTAAAAACTGTATTAATATTTTTACTTTTTTTGGCGACAAGAAAATTATTGTAATTTTTGAACTGCAGTTTTCGATTGATCTAGACATTTCAGACCATCTTGAGTCCAAAAATTATTTTCGACGCCTGAAAGCACCAAGGAAAAAAAAATAATAAAAGCGACAGTGCAAAAATAAAATATATCATTTGGTCTGAGCGGAGTTAAAGGGGAGCATATTATTATTGCATGATTTCGGCCCCCGAAGAATGTGTACCAAATCAGTTCTGCCCAGAGGTTCTTATAACTTCGCATTAATTCCCCACCCTCATCCTCTGGTCCGGGTAAACCCCGTATAGCCTAAAAGACGAGGAAGGGAAGAACAAAAAACAATAATCAATTCTACCGTAGAACAATGTTTCACAGTTAAGTATTGCTATTGTTAAATTGCTAAGATGAAATAACAATGGAATGGAAGGAAACTAATTGTAATTTACTTAAAAATATCAATAACATACGAAATATGATTAATTGAAGAGAAAGATGGTTAGGGTGATCAGTCAAAATAAAATAGTAAAAATAAATAATTGCATTTATTTTCACATTCGCCGACGTTTCGGCCCGAAGTTCAGACCTGTATCAGGGCTGCTCTACCAACAAGAATAGACAGAGTATATGATTGACTATGAATTTGAAAACAAAATCGGAACATTTAATAATAGGAAGAAAAGGATATTTCAAGTTTATTATAACGTCACTAGGTCAGCTTAATAACAATAACATGAACATAAACAACGAACAAGAACGTTCATAATAAGGATAATTGATGAGAACTTGGTTGGGATGTTCAGTGAAATTACATATTTATTTTTACTCTGTATTTTGACTGCAAACCCCAACTAACTTCTCTTTAATTATTCACTACCGTCAACCATCTATCAACAATCATGACAAGAATAATTTTATCAATATAAATATTTCTTTCTATTTCTACAAAATGGGACAAACAAACACGATAATTTCCTACAAAAGATGGCTACTTACCCAGAACTTAAAAGGGTGGGACGGCTAACTGAATATTTCTACGCAAACTCTGCAACATAAAAAAAAAAAATCTTTGTTACTACGGTACGACTTTATTTTAAAAATAAATTAATAAGAAATAAATAATGAAGTATGAAATAACTAAAACCAAAAAATTTTAAATAATTGTTTTGAAAATTAATGTCAAGATTATTATAAACGTACATGGCAGAAGGGTGGTTTCAAAAATTAATTAACCACGACCTGTTTAGAAACATAAATATTAACTATTAATGCTGCAGCAGCAAAAAAGGGTCAAAATCAACGCAGGAGTCCGGGTTCCGTCCAGGCAGGCCTGGCAGGCAGATGGCACCTCAACTGGGGGCGGAAAAATCTTTTAGAGCAACACATTTTTATTATTAAATAAGATTACTACCTCTGAGGTACTATTATTACTCACAGATTAAAGGCCTATAATGATCATTCTATAATAAATCATTAAGCAACAATTTTTAAATAAGTCAGAATTTTGTTTAATCCCCAACTTCTTTTATACACTCCTTCATCTAATTGTAACCGACAAATATTCTATTTACGAAAATTCTTGGAATTGGGGGGGAGGGGTTTCAATCTGGAGATCGTTAAGCCGTGTTCATTTAATTGGGTATTAAAAACTAGTAAATACCCACTTGCTTTCCACTTGATAATTTAATATAAAGCACAAACTTCCGAAAAAAGATGGATTTCAAGTATATTGGCCCGTTTGGAGTGACCTATACACTCCCAAAATGACAAAGTAACGAGGTGTTGAAAGCCAAATGGCACAATGTTTTTGTAGGCCACATTTTTTCTCGATTTTGTGATCAAATTATCTTACGATCCAAATGGCAAGCAAATGATTATATAAGAGTTTTTAATACCCAAATAAATACACAAAGTTTGCCGACTTTCAGATTGAAAACGCCCCAATTCCAAGAGTTTTCGTAAATGAAATAGTTTTAGGTTACGATGAGATGAATCTATTCACGAAGTTTCAATTGGAAGTAAATAATTTGATAAAAAGAAGTCTGTATCACGGACTACTATGATAGGTAACCATTTAAAATTTATGTTATAGCAAAAACTAGATTGCTCCATGAAAGCTAGATTCATACTACTTTGTTAAAATAGTTAATAATTTGCCCTAAGTTGGCAACAGTCAGGTGTAGAGGACAACGGACCTGGGCGACCAGCTGCTGTCAACATCTGATGGGCAGGTGCATTGCAATCTACACGGCGCTGTCCTCAGATCAAGGACATTCCGAACAAAGAAGAAAATCATGCTAAATCCTAAAATACACCTTTATCTACTCAGGGTTGATACTTAATACATAGTTGATCCCACCAACAAAAAATGACTAGTATATTCTATTTAAATAAAAAACTAGTCCATTAGAAAGAAAATTGATATATATATATATATATATATATATATATATATATATATATATATATATATACCTGTGCCACTGCAACCCATGAAGGGTCTGGGGTTCAGTACTATTTAGGAAAAGCACTGTTTCTAGGTCAACGGTTGTGCAGAGAGGTGATTTGACCGATATCACGCTCAACCGCCAGGTTTTCCTCCGTAATTGTTTTTTTAATTGAGGGTACCCACTTTTTAGAGGCTGGGTGTGCCCTAGGAGTTTCTCCCGACCCAGGGTCGCCCCACTGCCAATGAAACAGATAAATAAATTTTCTGCCATGAGCCGGGGTTCGAACCTGGGACCTTTAGCATTGGAAGCTCAGTACCCAACTACTGAGCTACCCCACTCCCAGCGAGTTGTAGAAACGAAATATTTAATAAAGATAACTAAATGCCAATATCGTAATACTATTTTTATGTTGTGTAGCTAAAATAAAATATGATCCATTCCAATAATATAAACGACCTTTCGTTATGTATGATGCATCGTGTGAATTGATCTCGCATTAAAAAGATATTTTAACTTGTGCGCATATTAGTTTTCTCGTTATGTGAACAATAAATTCTACTGATTGAGAATAGGATAAACGAGTATATTATTATTGCCGACAAGGCAGAACGACAATAGGAGATGAAGCCCTAAAGCCTAAAGTAGGCTGAGCGGCCTTGACACAACCCCTCGGGTGCATTGACCCCCAGCCCTCAGCTGGTCTAGAGGGTGGCTCTGGCAGCTAGTCCTTTCGATATGACCATAACTACAAAACTGCTCCGTAATGTAATATAGCTGGCAAGGGCAAGGGCTTGAGGCCGCATGCGGCCTTAATAAAAACTAATTCTAGTATTAATTAGCATTTAATTATGAAGATTAGGATAGTTCGAAAACTAGTCGAACCCCAACGGTGAAATATAATAAATCCTTTATTAGAGCTTAATTAATATGTGGCCTCTAATGGCAAAGAGGTTCCACCTGCCTCTGTAATGTATGAAATAAACCAATTCTTCATGAAAACTTCAAACAACGAGGAAGACATGATTGAATACACTGAGATCTAAAAATCATTCTTGTATATATGATCATATCATGAGGGCCGAAAGTAGATTTTTTGTAAGAGGGGACGACCAATTTTTGCGCTTTTCCTTTACCCTTCCACCTCCACTCACTCTATTTATTTATTTTCATAAATAATTATCCTGCTTATTAAAATTTGTTAAACAGGAAGTTTGGTACCTTCTTTCTTAGGAACATAGCGTACAATAGAGTGCAGAGTTCGAGATATTCCCCGCTTCGAACTTTCCTATTTATAACTTTATTTTGGGTAATATTTCCATAAATTTAATGTTCCATATGTTTCCGATTTGGTAAAATCCAGATACCTATCCTTCCATAACAAACTGCAGAACCATCCGAATCCTCTCGTTTCAAACCTTGCTTTATCCTCGATCCCTGATAATCCTCCGAGGCGTCTAAAAAGAAAGTGGCCTCGTGATCTTCTTGTGTAAATGTATTATTCAAGTGCTATCAGTGGGTAGTTTATCGATAAGAGATTTCATGTTATTATATTCCTCAGTGCATATTTACTAGTTGTTTCTTTTTTTATTATACAGTTGTAAATATCAATGAATAAAAAAAATAAATACCTTAAATAAGTATATTCTCAGAATATTAAGGCCATTCGCTAACGAGAGGAGATTGACTAGATATCGAAGAAAATGATCGTCCACTTTGTAGAGAAATAAATCACACGTGTCTCTGTAATGAGGAGTTATGCTTTCAAAACGAGTGAATATTCTTCTTCTAGGATAGGGTAGGACTCGCCTCTTAATTTTCCTTATGTACCAAGAAAAACAACGCAATGTCTCTTTTATCACCAGAACTGTTTATTTTCATAAATAATTATTCTGCTTATTAAAATTTGTTAAACAGGAAGTTTGGTAACTTCTTTCTTAGGAACATAGCGTACAATAGAGTGCAGAGTTCGAGTATTCCCCGCTTCGAACTTTCCTCGGGACGATCCCAAGTCCTCATCACAGTGAACTGAAGCGGAAGGCATGAAGAGGAAGGAAAAGAAGAAAAATATTTCGCTAAAATAAATTTGGATTATTTATTGTATATCTTTAAGGAATCGTGAGAGGATCAAACCTACAATAAAAGTTACTAATTTACTGTAAATAAATTTAATCTCTATCTTACCTCCCTTTAATATTTTCTGTAAACTGTCATAATGAACTGAGAAAAAACAGAATAATT